TTTTAAAATATTAATTAAACATACTCTGGACTGAAATTTGCTAGGCAACCCATATGGATTATATTTATTGACATATTAAATTAAATATAAAATAAATTTCATTAAATAAGCATCTCGGTGAAGGTCGTTGTATAGCGGGATCTTATACTAATATGACAGGGTAACAAAATATTGTTTGAGTTGTTTAGTAAATTGATTGATTTTTGAAATGTTAGTGATAATTTTATTTTTAAGGAAGTGGTTAAAGATATTAATAAATAAAATAATAATTATTTATACAACGCTTATTTTTTTACATATCTATAAATAGATAGATGTTACACTACAGGAAAATTATGTACTGACAAAGATAAAACTTGTATTTTTATTAATTTACTTGTCGTGTGTGTGGGAATGTTCAATGTGTGGAGGTGTTTGTGTGTGGGGTGGTGTGTGAGAGACAATGTGCACTTTGCCCGGGATGTGTGTGTGAATGTGCAATGTGTGGTGTATGTGTGTGCGTTTTAGGATTGTGCCCGATTAACGACTTATTTAAACTTATATTTATTTCCAAATTTTACCCATTCTAAATATGTACTGAATAATATAACATACATACATAAGCAGATAGCGATAATTCAGCCTGCGCGTGCGCATACAAGTGATAACTGTTTCCGTTACATTAAACGTTTTTATCCGACTTCAAAAAATAATTAACAAAAATCCTTCAGCGATCTTGTTGAATATTTGAGTAAGTTCACTAATTTTTCTAATCCAAATTCCATAAAAATATGTACAGCGTTTTAGATATGTAGCATTTCTGAATATATATTATTATTCCGTATTCTCCAATTCACTTGACAATTACATTTTTTTTTTCAATATCAAGACTCCATACAAAAAATCTCCTTTGGAATAATAAGCAATATTGTAATACTGATTATTATCGCGTCCTTGTAGTCTATGAATGCATAATCTACTTGGCATTCTATATTGTTTATTGCCACGTAATACAGTTTAATCATTTAATTTACTTTCAATCAAACTATTGTCTATGTCTTTAATTACAATATCTTTGAGCCAACGATTCTCAAGAGAGAATCGCTTTGGCGTGACGTATTTAATCACGTGACAGTTCCCGTACAAATTTATTTGGCGTTAGTGCGTCACATCTGACGCATGATTTTATATCAGTTGGTGTGATTGGAAAACTCTATTTTTGAATTAATAATAATGGTTTTATTATGCGGAACTTAATAGAGATACATATGACCAATCAAAATTGAACGATTAATCTTTCTTATTACATTCCCACGCATCTGTACTCCCTTCTTTTAGTTTGCGTATTTAAAATTGGAAGATCCACTTTTGAATAAAGAATAATGGTTTTGTTTTGTTTGTTTGACCAATCAAAATTGAACGACTTCGTTCGTTTTCTATTCTCAATGGGCGTGTTCGGCCGAAGTAAGTACTTACTAAACTTAGTAAGCCAGTAAGCATAAAAAAATTAAAGTCTTACAAGCTGACTGTAGCGCTTTTCGGCCAGGACAGACTTACTGGCTTATTAACATAACACAAAACACCGGTTTATGTCATATCCCGTACATAACCTCATAGACTGAATATAATTGACAGTACTAAATTTAGGAATATAATTTAATACCTGTGAATAGTTTCAAATGGATAATTTTATGAGAAATATTTTATTGGATATTTTATTGTCCGTTTTGTTTACATCAACAATAAGCAAAATGGCGTCGTATATTAAGCCATACTTACTGCGTTAGCACTTATTTTGTGTCCCGGCCGAAAATTTTGTAAGCATAGTAAGTGACTTACTAAATTTAGTAAGTACTTACTTCGGCCGAACACGCCCATTAACAATTTCGTTTAAGTAGAATTGGAAGTTCCATTTTTAAATTTAAATTTCGAATTCTGCAGTGAACAATGTTCGTAAAGCCTAAAAGGGGCGACACCCAACATATTTCTGCGTCTATTTCATACATCGTTCTTGTAACATGTAGACAGCCATTTAGTTTAATTGGAAGTTCCATTTTCAAATATCGAATTCTGTAGTGTAAGAATGTTCGTAAAGCCTTAAAGGTGTAGTGCTAACATACTTCTGGGCCTAGCTCTTTTAACATGTAGACAACATTTAGAAAACACAATTACTTCACGACGTAGTACTTTGTACAACAAAGGAAAGTCATAGATAATACGTTCAACGATTAATCTATGACGGCACCGCAGCCCAAATCAAATACAAAACTTCCTTACCGGTCTTCTTGGAATTCTTCCAAAACAAATATATTTTATTCGAGACTGCTCTACCAAATATACACAATTATAGCTTTGCGCTGCCGGCATTTTAAAAATTGGTACGCTCTTTTTTTGAAGGACCCTAAGTCTAACTGTTTCAGAAATACTTCAGTGGGCATTGCATCTGAAGGCACATTTAATTAAAATACACCTTAACAAGAGGCAATAAAGTCGCTATTTAAACTCGCTAAGTCATTACGAAAATAGATATTTTAAAAAGGGCTAAGAGATATTTTCGGGTCAATATTGGGAATTCTCGAGACTTTTCTCAGTCTCATCTTTTAATGGGGCTTTTTGTATCAGAAACCACTAAGACTCTAGCCAATTCGGCAGGCATAGGTGCTAGCTGGGTTGGAATTATAATTCGTACATTTCGTAAGTGTATGTTTGTTCACAAATTTATCAGAAACTAAGCCATCGCGATTTCAAAATCTAACTTATTCTAACACAATATAAATCAAGTTACAAGAGCTGTCAAAACATGTTTTGCAAAGTTTAACATTTGACAGCGCTCAAGATACAAATTAAAAAATGGACCTAAATTTCATTAAAAGCCGTTCAGTAGTTTTAGTTATTTGGATACCCAAGCATCAAATAATCTGTATTCATTACACCCATAATATCTATCTTCAACTAATAAATTAAACAATTGAAAGTTCCCTTGAAACAATTGCACAATCATTTAGACGTGCGAGACAAACATTCAACATAAAATCATAACATATTTCAACTTCCATAGTATATGTCAAAATAATTATATATTATCCTTAATTCACCTCTCTTCCTTTTATGTGCTAACTACATAACTCTCCACTAAACATATATACAATTCAATACTTTCAACCTCCATAATTGATTTACAAGTCGCAATAATATAATAAAAAACTGTTATTACTAGATAAAAATGTTAATATTCACGCCAAGGTCGTGAGGAAACGTGATCAATAATTTGTTATCAACTAGCACTTTCAGTTATATATCTAGATATACTAACCTATATATATTAGAACATATGTAACTAAGATTTACGCACGGCTTTTAAACGTTACCAGAAGATTTGTACCAAAAAGCCACGAAATGGATATTTCAAATCAAACGCGTTCTATTAATTACAAGCCCCAAGTCGCAGTGCATGTGAACTCGGCCTATAAATAGTTAACATTTCTCAGCATTCCCGCAAAGAAAAACGCTACACAATGAAAATGAAGCATCGAACACGACGCGCTCCCCAAACCACTTTCGCCCGCCTTCGGCATTCGTCGGTAATCTTCGCAACCGACAGCTGACTGGGCCAATGTCAGAGCGAGATGCGACGCGTCAACTCGCACACGCGCAAGAAAGACGGCTAACCGCGCACTACGCTGCCGCCGCCATTTAATTCTCTCTAGTGTACAGCACGGTCGTAGTGACAACGTCCAATATTTATCGCAAATGATAATTTTTTGTATGTGAAAATTATGTATTAAACCTCAATAAATGTCCTAGTGTTTGTAGAGCGTGTCTTTTTAACAATTTGCAATGAGTAATAAGTGTGTGAAAGTAATGAAAATGCGACTCATTTAAAATGTCTCGTTACCACGTCTGTCAACAAATACGTGGATTATGCAAGTTGGAGTGAAATGTGAACATGTATTAGGTAAATCTCAAGTGATTCCTACTTTATTGGATGATTTGTGGTATTGTGATGTATTTGTGTGTTACATGAATAGGAGTATGTTCACTGTCTGAAAGGTAAGCGTGTCCACATAACTTTGTACAACAGCAAGGCATAAAGGCAATTAAAATACCTTCATTATTTTATGAATATTGATGAGTCGAGCGTTGTTATTTGTTAAAACTGAGTAATGGCTAATTAGGTGAGATAAGACGTGTTCTAGAAAGATATCTTTAAATATTTACTGAGGTATTCATATTAATCTCCAATGCACCTACCATTGTGTAGCTTTTACATGTAACAAATTACTTTTTAAGAACAAAACAAAGAATCTAGTATCATATAGTAGATAAATCAGTTCAGATCTAGAAAATTTGTTATATTTGTGATGGTAACGTTCTATATATTTCTTAATCCTTGACCTACAACAGGTTTTACTCGTTTGACTGTCTACTAACTTAAATTAACATCACATCAACAACAACACATCTTATTTGTTCTTATAATATCAAAACAATTCTGAAGTTTAAAATGTTGATGTAATATGTATTGTAAGTTCATTTATATCATATTTAATGCTAAAAGTAGGTATACAAGTGCACCATTGCATACATGTATCTGTCGACTAAGTCGGGCAAGACTAAATATGATACAATTTTAATAGTAGATTGGATAAAATACAATGTATAACAGCATAGAAATATGTAGTATGTATGAATTGATGTTGTCAATATGGCTTTTTGTTACGCTTAGGTAATTCATTCAATATATGATTTTAAATATAATGATATGAATATATATAATTTAAAAGTCAATAGTTGAATGTGCCGCATGAATGCATGAAGGATTTTAGTACAATATTAGCAAATCAATTGCATTCAAATTTGCATTTTGGTAGAAGACATGACTTTACACAGATTGAAACCCTATCATAAGACATGATCTTATTCATTTCTGATCATTGGAACCAGCTAGCAGTTGAAAATACACATAAATTAAGAAATTTCTCTATTTGTTTCAGTCAATTGACTATGAGGGTTGTAAAATAATGCGGTGGCTGCACAAAATATTGGCGCTGGCAATAATTTGCACAGCAGCGGAGGGCGAAGTCTGTCCTTCCACATGCAACTGCACCAGAACCCGTCTGGCCTGCTCTGGAGTCGTCCTACCCAACAACACGCTAACAAAGGCAATCTTAGCTAACTATGGAACCGCCCTACAGGCAATCATATGGACAGATTCAAATCTCCAAACGTTAGAACCTGATATATTCAACGGGCTACACAATCTAGAGTACATCGACTTAAGCAGAAACGAAATAATAAGAACTGAAAACGGGCTATTCGCGAGACTGAATCAACTAAAACATTTAAATATATCGAGAAATCAAATCGTGGACATCCCTCGGAAACCGTTCGTAGATTTACAAAACTTAGAAGTTCTAGATGTATCCCACAATCAAATTCAGGTCATACCATTCCAGGTCTTCGGGCTGATGACCAAACTGCACTACCTAGATATATCTTATAATAAAATAGCCACTTTCTTAGATTACTATTTTAAACCTAATCGTAAACTGAAAACGCTGTTCCTAAATAATAATAGCCTAGTCAAAATTACATCTAAAGCTCTAGTCGACTTGAAAGAATTGGAAGTTCTCGACATTTCTAGCAACAAATTAGATAATTTTCCAAAGCTTTTATTCGAAGCCTTACCGGAACTCAGAGAGTTAAATCTGAGTTACAATAAGTTTTTAAACATATCACAGGACGCTTTTAAATCTCTCGAAAAGTTGCGGATGATAAACATGGGGGGGAATAGATTAAGACTGCTGCCACCAACGCTCTTCCAGTATAATAAAAATTTAGAAATAATCTACCTCGAACACACAGAAATAACGGAAATACAGAACACGAACTTTCAAGGGTTGAACAAATTAGAACAACTATTTATCCGATACAATCCATATTTACGTGAGATCGAATCGTACGTTTTTCAAGACACGCCGTCGTTGACACATTTGGATATTAGCAACAATTCCTTAACGTTTTTGCCTCTTACATTGAAGATATTAGATAAGTTGCAAGAGTTGAGGATAGGAGGCAACCCGTGGGCTTGCGACTGTCGTATGGCGTGGTTCGTAACATGGGCTGATATGAGGAAGCACATCATTAAATCGGACCTCAGCTGCGGTCTCACATATCCGAACGATATGTTGAGAATTCTGAATAGTACCGATTGTAAACCACCACAGCTGATCAGCAGTAGTCCACTGACTCTTTATCGATTACAATCGAACGCCCTTTTGGAATGCACATTCGAAGGTAATCCCTCGCCTTCCATCACTTGGATAACGCCAACACGGCACGTGTACCACTGGAACCCGGAACAATCGATTCCAGACATTTACTACAAACACGGTCTCGCCCACGATCAAAATTATAGGCCGGTAGACTATACGACATCAAGAGTGCGAGTGCTAGAAAACGGCGCTTTGACCATTATGAATATTCATCGCGAGGACAGTGGAACCTACACATGTTACGCAACTAATCCATCCGCGAACCTCACGGCCGAGGTCATACTCAACATAGATCCTATGACAATGTTTGAAATTAAGATGTATAGTCTATTGTGTGGGGCAATTTGCGCGGCGGGTTTTCTAGGCCTCACTCTGTTGGTTCAAGCTCTGCGTTATATCTTCTACAGGTAATAACTTTTGATTGGACAGTCGATTTTCCTCCGAGTAGCGATCTAAACCTGCTGTTTTATTCCAGATTCCGTCTATTGGAGACTTGCTGCAGTTGCTGCTCGTGTGTCAACAGAGACGCGCCACGGACGCGACAAATTTATGGCATGCTGGACAACATTGAACAGTATAAACGGCTGCAATTGGAAAAACTACGAGAAAACTACGCAGTTCAAGTACGCGTAAATTGTATGGTACAACCATGTGGTATAGCCGTTATACTAATGCAATTGTTTTTATTCCCAGGTGCATCGGATTAAAGAGAATTGTACTCAGCAAGTGGAATGGATACAGAGCAGTTATTCATCGCAAGCCGGCCACCTGCGGAACTTTAAAAATATCGGCACTAATCATCTTACGGCCATGAAAGACCAGTATTGCGATCAGGTATATTTCCATATTACAAATAAAACATCAAAATTGCAAAACATTGCAGTTTCAAAACTAACAATATTTTTAACGTTGTTTACACAGGTGAAGCGAGTAAAGGAATATTCCACGTCTCAACTAAATTGGGTGCAAGAGAATTACGTTTTCCAGAGGAATAAAATACGAAAGTTTAGCGCTCATCAAATATTACGATTCCGGGAGTCGTACAAATATCAACAGCAGATGCTGAACAAAGTGTTGGAGAATCTGCCGACTTTATACTTCGAGAATTGTCGTAGCGGTTCGTGCGGTCGAAGCGACTCCATGGCTTTCGATCCGGACGTCGAGGTCATCGACATGTATCTCAAGTCGAAAATAGACAAGCTCTCCAGCCTACCAAATCCGGTGGACGACGAGAGCAAAATGTCCGTTTACTACACGCCGACGGAAAGATCTGTCAACTCTCGCCGAAGTTCCCCCGTCCTGCTGCCCGATGGCATTCACATCAACATAATCGAGAGAGAACCCCCTCCGGGACTCCTGGCGATGCTTAAGACCTTGCAGCCGGCTCCACCGCCGACGCTGGCGTCGTTCACACCAATGGACCTATCCAGCCCCACAACTTCCAAAACCCTCACGCCCGTCAGATCGAAATATAGAGAGGAGGCGAAACCTTCCAGCGAGCCGCTGCTGGGTCGCGGACGGGACCCATTCAGGGAAGACTGTCGACGCCTGCCGACAAGTTTGAGTTCGCCAGAGCTGAACAGGGATTCGCAGAGGGAAGCGGCCGCGAAAGAGGCGAAAGTGTTGTTGGCGGTGGAGTTGACGACGCCGGAGTGCCAGGTGCGGCACCCGGCCGGGCAATTGGTGTGCGGCGACTGTATAGGCCTCTGCGAGAACACGCCCTTGTAGTACAGGCTTCTGACGCGTACGTTCAAGATCTACGCGTTGAATGGCCGGCCCGGCCGTCTCGAAAACATCCGGCTCTGTGATTTCAGCGAATCGCCATCTTACGTATGATTCGACCGCTCGGACGGACGTCGGGACGCTTGTACTTCTAAGTAAGCTGTGATAGATTAGATTTCGAATTAATGTATTAGCGAAATTATTTCTCCTAGTGCTAGGTTTAAGATCTGTTCGTTGATGTAGAGACGAAATTTATTTAAGCGTTCTGTGGATTAGGAATCATGTAAATAAATATCGTTTCGAACCTTTTTTTATTTCCATTTTTGATGTTTAGGATATGCTCTTAGAGGACTATTCATTTTGTATTAATTCGACTTAAAGAACGTAGACTAGCCAGTTAAGGAAGTTGTTATCTGCATTGTTGAGGTTTCTGTAAATTGGTGTATCGCGTGGCTTCTCTGTCCATCTCACTCCTATTTCATTTTTGTATCTGTATGCAGTTTTAACGGAACCCTTTTTCTATATATTATATTTTGTGACAGTGTCGTATCGTAACAAGTCCTACAGTGATATGCCAAATAACTAACCTGCAACTATTATGTACGTTTCTTAATATATACAAATATTGTTGAAAGATTTTCTAAATATTATAAAAAACAAGATTAATTAGCGAATCACGCGGAATAAATTATTTTTCAATGGATCCTTTTGTTTCATTTTAATTTTAAAGGTTGAGAGTATTTAGACCATAAGTTTTTACATTTCCATGCCTTTTTGTATGGTTGATTGGTTTTTAATAATTAAACTGATTATTATTAACATTGTTTAGTATTTAGACGTTTTATTATCTAAACCAGATCACTTGAATTTATACAATATCAATGTGAATTTGAAATTTCACATCTTCATACATTAAAATTAGAAATAAAACACTCGTATTGTAAAAACTGTTTATTTTTATCACAAGATAAAGCTCAATGTGTAAGGGGGCGTCCATAAATGACGTGAGGTGTTTTTTTTAAATTTTCTGTGACTCCCTCCCCCCCTGGTGAGATGTCGTGAGATTTTATTCAACCCCATCCCCCAATCTCACGTGAGATTTTTCAAAATGTGGATTTCTTACGTAAACTCGTTGGATAGTTATTGTAAAAAGAAAAATTGCTTCGTGCTTTTATTTACAACTAAAACAAAATAAGTGAAATGTTGAGCGTTTAGGTATGGAGTGGGATGTTGGTGGCGCCTTGGGGTTTTGGTGGGTATGTACATTCGCGAGTCCCACATAACCCTCCCGCACTAAGCAGTCGCACCGCGGTAGGGTATGCGCAATGCATTTCCCCAAGTAAAAAAAAAAGAAAAGAGATGACCTTTAGGGTCAACCGTTTTCCTAATTGTTTTTCATTCAGAAAAAAAATTGCGTGATATTTGCCGAGACCCCCCTCTCTCCAACGTAAGATTAAATGAGATTTGACTCGACCCCCTCCCCCCTTTAACACCTCACGTAATTTATGGACGCCCCCTAATGTTAACTTAAAATTGATTTAAGTAAAGATGCGTACCGTAATCTATAGGAAAATATCTCCGGAGAGGTTAGTATATGGAACGGGGAATCGCTTAAGATGTCATTGATTATTGGTCCAGTGTCTAGTGACACTGTTGACCAATCACAAACAGACGAAATGCGTCATCATTCTACGTTCACCTCTCTGGAATTACTTGTGTGCCTGGCGTAACTGAGCCTCTAAAGTCTAAGTCAACACAAAAGATTTCCGAATATATTCATGCATACTTTCTAGGTCTATCATAAAGTCAATTTCTTTAAAAAAAAATTGGTAACATAGCCGATTTTACTTTATTTTCTTGTTAAATATTTGGCAGCTCCAAATTTATTGAGGTGGAGCCGTAATTCGACAAATTTACCGAAGTTTATTGAGTAGATTATAGGAATGAAATATCCTACAAGCATATCTAGAATGTAAACCCATTGAAGCCTGTAAGTGAATTATAAAAATAATTTAACCAACTCAAAATACCTAACCACTGAATAGGCAAAAATAAAAATATTTAGCGTCTCATCGTGGCAATAAAAATTTCGATAATATCGATCTATATTACCATTAGATATTTTTAATACGTCAAAATAATAGAAATAATATTTTTGAAAATTTGTGTGCTCCCAAAAAAGAAGTAACAAAAAAGGCCTGCCTGTATACGTGTGATATGCGATACACATCTCAAAAACCATTAAACCAATTGCTTGGCTAGGCTTCCAATTATCCTCGATCATCATACTCAACTGTTATCTAATTCCGACAGTAGAAGTCAAACTTATAAGAGCATGCTTTATTGACGTCAGTTAAAAAAACATAACCAAAAGCATTAATTAAATGTGACGAAGAGACAAAATACGAGTGTTACAAATAGCCCAATGATCCAGAATTTTTGTCAAAAACATCTCACATTTGTCACTAGAGTTTATGACCTCACTCTTAAGCTAAGAGAAAAAGGTTGTAATTTCTTTAGCCCAATCAGAATGTTTATATATATAACAAGAGGCAAGCGGGCATGAGGCTCACTTGAGGTTAAGTGATACCTCTCATGAACATTGCCAGAAGCCTCGCCAGTGCCGGTGTGCCTTTAGGGAATTGGTACGGAAATACTTCAGTGGGCAGCTGGTTCCACATAGTGTTCCACCGCGGCAAAAACTGCCTTAAACAACGCTCAGTTGCAGAACGATTATTCTCATCTGTTGCGGTAACGCGGTCCTCATATCCTACCATCATATCTATTCCTTGGTTTTTGCAGCCTCTCTTTTACTGTCTTCAATTCCAGGAAAAACTAGCTAACACATACTGCCGTTTCCATATCAGCACAACAAATGCAGAACAACAAATGGACAAGAAAAAACACAGTAATAATTGTACCCTAAGTGACTAGAGCAGTGTTTGCCAACGTGGGGACCACGCCCCACAGGGGGCAATTTGATTTTTAAGTTTTACGAAAAATTATTTGGAAATTTAAATTGCGTTTTTCATTATGTTTTTAAAATTGACTTACAGTGCTTCGATAACAATTTCCTAGTAATGTCTTCTTAAAACCTACCATTTAAGTTCTTAATGTTTGATTAATTTACGTTTAACGAGAGTTTAATTGATTCAGTGATAAATCTCTAATTTCGCTTGGGAGTTTGTTGTAAAAACGAATACAATTTCCATATAAGGAGTGGTTTATCTTCTGCAGCCTGGTTGGTCGTACGCTTAGATTAGTTATGTTTCCAGTATATACACATATATATATATAAAGCTTCATGTATAAACATCTTTACTTCGCTTTAAATTAATGTTTTTTTCTAGCTGGTCCCAAATTCTATATTCATTAATTTAACTTCTAAACCTTCTATTCCAGGACACCTGGAATCTACATCTACACTTACCTTGGCAGCAGTACGATTCCACACAAGGACCTTATGACCGGAGTTGAGCAAATTCTTGACAATTCCACTCCCCATAATTCCCAGGCCGAGGAAGCCGAATTTCATTTGACTCGCCTTTATGTTCTTCTCCAGGAGCGTCTCAGATACGTTCTCGAGATCCAGGGGCGGTGTTTCCTGGAAAATTATTTATGTTAAGATGTTTAAGTGGATACAATCTAAAACTACTTACTACGCCCTACAGTTATTACAAAAAACAATTTTCAAGGCAAATAATACAATGAACCCACTTTTCTATAACGCGGTCCTGGCCTACCACAAAATAGCAAATTGTGTATTCTCGTAAAACCGTTTTTTTAACAATTCAAAAATAAGAACACGAATTTAATAAAGTTTAATGTTACACATAAAAAAATAAAACAGGTGCAAAGGTACGCAAAACTAATTATGAACTTGACAAATCATTATTTCACACTACAAAAATACTTAAAATCTACGCGTTATAGGGGGGAAATATCGCGTTATAAAGGCTCGGAATACGCATTATACGAAACCGCGATATAGGATAGGATTAAAAATAATAATAATTACTTTATTCAACAACAAGTGACAGTTATATATTATTATAAATAAATAATTGTCATTCTTCTATTTAGAGAAAATGCTAGTTTGTGTGAGACTGATGCCTGCTAAAGAGTACCTGTGTTACATGTCATCAGGCCTCCACCACTTCGGATCGACAGGTCTTAAAAAGTAGAGAAAAATTTAGTGAGAATAAACAATCAGTTACATTGGCTGTAACGTTAACAAAAAATTATATAATATATGGATATACATATAAGGAAACCACATGCGGTATGTGTGTGCGTGTGTGTATGTGTGTTAGTGTGAGCCTGTGTATGTATTATTGACTGTACTATTAAAGGAATTCATCGAACTTGCTATGTTATACACTAGATGACCCTGTGAACTTCCTATCTCAAAACAGACCAAAGAGATCGGACTCTACCATCGATACAAAGTCCCTTCGTGAGTTGTGCTGCGATATCGCGGGCTACTCGATTGTGAGGAAGTTGCATGGATCTGGTGGCGCCTTCATAAGTTCTCATGTCATTTTCAGACGTGTATATCATATTTCATAAGTGTGATTGTCGTCGTTTTAGCATCAACATGAGGGAAAAAATAAAATATTACAATTATTTATTTCAAAAAATTTATCAATTTCACTGCTTGATATTTGACTACTTTCCTATACTTTATTAAGTTTTTCCGTTTAAACATTCCCCGAACCTCCACAAATATTTCAAAATAAAAATTAGCCGAATCGGTTTAGCTATTCTCACGGGACGCCCAAAAAGGACAGTCGTGAGACACCCATTTAAGTGGGTGCGTTGCCGGCCTTTGAGGAAGAAGTCTGCTCATTTTTAAACAGTTGGAGATCTTATTTCCCATGGAGGACCCCCACCGGGAGTCGATTCCACAGTCCGCTAGTTTTATACCGTTTAAACTTAGCCCAAACCTACACAAATATTTCATGATCAAAATTTGCTGAATCAGTCCAGCATTCTCGAATTTTAGTAAACGAATAGCAATATATTTTGATAAATACTCGTAAAGACTAGAGATGTACAGAAAAGCGTGGATATCTCTCAGAGAACCTTATTTAAAATAAAATATCTGTATGAATTTTAGTTTAGAAACAATTTTTTGTAAAACTTACTTTATCACTTGGAAACCCATCATTTCTAATTATTATGCCCCACAAAAATATCATAATCGTAGAAAAAAATCCAAAATCCACTTTTTAAAATATATGGATTAATCATTGACTAAATATTACATTACATTTAAAAAATTCATGTGTTTTAAATTTCATATTAATCACTCGGTAAAGTGACGGATTTTATAGAAGCATGTGACTTTTCTAGAAAGCTGTGTAATTTAATGTTATTATTTTTATTTTGTTTCAAAACCCTTTTGTTTGCTTGTATGCCAATTTTCATAATAAAAGAATATGAATTAAAATAGTTATGACAAAAACGATTGATGATTATATTATTTTGAAATGGCTGCAGTGTAAAGTTTACTATTTGTCAGATCCGTCACTATTATCATATGACGATACATACACATCAAATAGTTGAAAAATGTTCACTTTTGCCGCAACGAGAGTGACGCCAACTTGGGGGTATTCCCCAAATTTAGGACGAAACAAAATGTCTTGGGGTTTTTTTTGGAGATACATTAAGGGGGACACGCTTTTTATACAAATTATATAAAGCCTATAACCTAACGTAATTATAGATATTTAGGGGAACACCCTGTAGGATTTAGTATCACAGATGATTACGTCCTTTGTTTTCTTACGCCACTTTAATGCGTAAGAAGGAAATGCAACTGTTTGTCGTGTCTTACTTAGCTCGACAATTGTTTTCTTCTAGCATAGTTTCACTTTTATCATATATCAATAGAAGTAATCATACTTACAGGTCTCAATATATTCGACGGCCGCTGCAGAAGACTTGACTTCTTCGAGAACGAGTGGTTCAGCATCGACGGCTTATCATTCGCCAAGTCAGAGTCCGTAAACGAACGGGACGCCTTCGCCATTTTCCTGGGCGTGGATTTCAGACCAGTCGACGAAGAACGCTTAACAGCCTTCACCTTAGAACCCAAACGAATCTATAAAGTTTCAGAATATAAATATCACGATTTTATTTACTGTACTGCCCCTTCGTTCTAGGCTAATTCATCTGTATGTAATAAGAAATACAAAACACATTTATCAACACACATTTCACCAAACTTCAACTGAAAGGCCGGCAACGCACTTGCGAGCCTTCTGGCATTGTGAGTGTCCATGGGCGGAGGTATCACTTCACATCAGGTGAGCCACCTGCTCGTTTGCCTCCTATTACATAAAAAAAACTTTATAAAGTAATTTATTCTTTAATACCAAAAGTAAATAGCAAAAATTAAACCTTGCAGATTTCTGCATCGACAGACAGACATAACATTTCACTAAACACAGACACAGAAACACACAAAATAAAAAAAGATAAACTCAAAATAACTTTATTCATATAGGTAAATCCACTTATGAACGTCTGAAAAGATGTTAAATTGATTCTAAATTTACATTTACTACCAGTTCGCAAGTCAAGGGCGTAGAGCGGGCAAGAAGAACTGGCAAGAAACTTTCCGCCACTCTTTTTAATCGCCAAGTATTGTCATACAAATTGTTTGAACTGGAGCAAATCAATCCTAAGGATTACGATCATTTAAATATTCGTCAAATTTATATATGATAACGTTCTAAATGTGTAATGTGTGTGTGTGTTGCGAGTGTAACTGGCCCTGGCAGCAGTATGATCCTTGATGTTTTGGAGCCTGAGACACGCCAGTAATCTAATCCACAATATTCACAATACCTTCATCTAAACAATCTATTAATACAACGGGTCTAACTAAGTTCAGAGTTGAGTGTACACAATACGAACGGGCAGGAGGCTCACCTGATGTTAAGTGATACCGCCGCCCATGGACACTCTCAATGCCAGAGGGCTCGCGAGTGCGTTGCCGGCCTTTTAAGAATTGGTACGCTCTTTTTTTGAAGGACCCTAAGTCGAATTGGTTCGGAAATACTTCAGTGGGCAGCTGATTCCACATAGTGGTGGTGCGCGGCAAAAACTGCCTTGAAAAACGCTCAGTTGTGGAACGGCGGACGTCGAGGTGATACGGGTGGAATTTCGTATTCTGTCTCGACGTCCGATGATGAAACTCAGCTGCTGGTATTAATCCGAACAACTCCTCTGAACACTCTCCATGGCAAATGCGGTAGAAGATGCAGAGTTTTAAAGAGATTACACTGTAATTGTACACCCTCATACCTCAGACTTCTTCAAATAATTTGTACGCGGCTTCGGCAAGATAAGCAAACTCACTCGACGAGTATTGCGTGTGGTGGTGTTTGATTTTTTTATAGACAATTTTCTCTATTAATAGTAAATATTAACAGTGTTTTTCTGTCTTGGAAGAATTATGTGTAAAAGTATATAGTAAACAAACAATAAGAATAATTGTTACTAAAACTACTACAAGAAATACATAAACAAACACTTTTGGGCGGATTAAAAACTAGATTTCGTGTGATTTTTGTTGAGTAAGTAGATGTACCTACTTTATAAATGCGACGAAATTTTGATATTAGTCGAAGATTTTTCAGCGGAGGGTTATTATTCCATATCACTTACTTTACTTCAGTCAAATAGCCTATTCATAGTTGTTCGGTCGTACAAATAAATATTTATTGTTGACACTCAATACTACTAGAGCTCCTGGATAAAAAGATACAATTGAATAAATTGTACCGGATGAGACAAGTTAAGAAAATTGTAATACAAAAAGCAACTTTAATACCTTGGGCGTAGAGCTCTTCTTTTCTTTCTTCACTTCAGGAGTGGCCTCCTCCTTGGGTACGGACTCCGTGCTCTCCTTCCTGAGCACATCCCTCATCTTGTCAAACTCCTCGTCGGGATCACGGACATGTTCGTCAATTTCGCCAAAGTTCTACGAAACAATTTTTTTTATTTATTAACACTTCGTTAAATACAGAAACATACTTCAATTGACATAATTAAATGCAGCAACTGGCGGCCTTATCGCTTTCGAGCGATCTCTTCCAGGCAACCTCTTGAGCCATTTATAATCTACGTCGAAGAATCTACATCTTGTTAGTAAAATAAATGATAGACATAATTTTTGTACTAGAAATAAAGATAAAATAGCTCAACCATCTTTCAGATTAGCCAAAGTTCGAACATCATTTATGGGGTACTGTGTTAAATGTTAAAATACCTTGTGACATTTTAAAACTAAATGAACGAAAATTTAAATGTTTTATTAAAAGTACACTTTGTAAACAAGCATATTACAAATTAGAAGATTATATTCAAGATAAGAATGCTAGGAAACATGCTGGTCCTGCTCCATAGCACAATCATAGAGCCTGGACAAAATCAAATTGGTTAATATAAAATATTCTACGGTTTCGATATTTGTAAATATGTGAGGAACATGTATACTAACTTTTTTAGTATAGTAGTTTTATTCTAAGAGTACATTGTCTTCACATATAATTATTTAACTAAAGTAAACAAAATATTGTAAACCTATTTTAAAAGAGTAAGTGTGGAGTTTCTTGCCCATTCTTCTCCACACGAAACTACCTTTTGGAAGGGGCAACTAGAATCTTCTTTATATTTTATTTGACGTTCAAAGGTGCCATTTTAGGTGGTCTAATTGAAATAAATGATTTGACTTTGAACCACTGTGAGAAAAGAAAAAAAAATTAAGTTAGATAAGGTAGGCAAGAAGTGCACAAATACATATTACATAGTTATAAAAAAAAAACTAAACAAATAATGGATACATGAAAAATAAAAAGTGCACATGAATCATGATAATTTAATTTAAGATCAGTCTCACGTCAGTTTGTAGTTAAAAAGAAAGTTAGGGATTTATTTCGTAATCCTACAGATAACAAAAATTATATTTAACTAGCTGACCTGGCAAACGTTCGTTTTGCCATGTATATTATTTCTAGGAAACATTTCGTTCAATAAAAATAACTATCTACTATAATAAAAAATAGGGGTTGATCGTAGAAGGATTAACAATTAAGGGTTGTATGTATTTTTGTATGCTGTACCATAAAAAAATAAAAACAAAAAGTTTTGTCTAAAAAACAAGTATTGGGACCAATAGGAATATTTAGGTGGATGAAAAATAAATGTCCGATTCTCAGACTTATTGAATATGCATAAAAAATAATAAAAATCGGTCGAGCCGTTTCGGAGAAGTATGGGAGCGAACATTGTGACACGAGATTTTATATATTAGAAAAATAACAAACAATTACCCTAAAAATATAACCAAAGATGAAATACATAATATGTACAAAAGGAAAAAAAACAATAAAAATTATTCACTACATTTAACTAAGTAATAACTAATTCGGCTGTGTTGTGTGATGGTGTAAAGTGAGGGTGTGTATGTGGGGTGTGCTCATGATGCAGCTGATTTTGCGCTATGGATAATACTCCTTTTAAGATTCCGCGATAGCTTAAACAAGTCAAGGCTTAAATATTGGTCGTTATACGAGGGGAGGTCCAAAAGTTCGTGGAATGAAAGGGTTTTAGTAAAAATGAAACAGTAAATTTATTTTTCCTTTTCAATATAATCACCCTTAAGCTGAATACATTTATTAGATCTATGAATTAATTTTTCTAAACCATCGTAAAAATATTTTTTATCTTTTCCCTCAAAATGAGCCAAAATTGCCTCCTTTACCTCATTGTCGTCGGAAAATTTCCTTCCCCTTAAGTCTTTTTTTAAATTGGGGAACAAATAAAAATCACTTGGGGCCAGATCTGGACTATAGGGTGGGTGGACTAGTGATTCGAAGCCATGCGTGTGTAGAGCAGCCATTGCAACTTTGCTCTTGTGAACCGGCGCGTTGTCTTGCAAGAACAACACACCCTTGGTCAATTTTCCCCGACGTTTTTCTTTGATGGCATCCTTTAATTTTTCTAGTATTGTTGCGTAGTATTCTCCGGTTATGGTCCTGTTCTTTTCTTTATAATCAATCAGTATTATCCCCTCACAATCCCAAAAAACAGTAGCCATCAACTTTCCAGCCGACTCCGACACTTTGAATTTCTTTGGCGGTGGTGTCCCCTTTTTATGCCATTGCATGGACTCTTGTTTGGACTCAGGCTCGAAGTGATGAACCCATGTTTCATCGCCGGTAACAATTCGCTCCAAAATCGATCCAGGATCGTCGCTACACAACTCCAAAAAATGTTTTGACGCTTCGACGCGCTGCTGTTTTTGAAGCGGCGTGAGCATTCTCGGTACCCATCTTGCACTGACTTTTGTCATACCCAGATGGTCATGTAGGATTCGCAAAATTGTGGTATCTGATACTCCAACTAATGCAGATTACTTTTTTTTTCTTCAAACGGGTGTCCTCCAGTACAATTTTTTCCACTTTTTCGACGATGTCTGATGTGGTGGCCTCAACTGGCCTTCCTGAGCGGGGGTCGTCTTCAATCGACTCCCGACCATGTTTAAAAAGACCATGCCATTTGTAAATTATTGATTTACTAGGGCACTGTTCCCCGTAAACAGTTTCCATTTCATTCAAAATGGTCTGAGCGTTCTTTCCTTGCTTGGTAAGGAATTTAATGACAGCACGGTGTTCAATTTTCTCCATAGTTTCAGTTTTCTTCCGGATTGACGTGTTTAGCAGGCGAGTGTTCGTATGACGCAATAGGGCTGAAACTCCATTTATATACTAATTATGAGTCCCCAATTAGTATGACACTAAGCAAGCGCCCCTATCCCCACTCCATTCCACGAACTTTTGGACCTCCCCTCGTATATCCCGGCTGCGCGATACTTTTGGAGTTGGTGTTAGGAACATAAACAAAGCACGATTACGAGTCTGGCAGGAACAAGAAAGGGAATTTCTGGTGCAGCTGCTGTTTCTGGTGCTGTTTTCTCGTGGCAGCTTTTTGAGCCTGTAGAAGTTGCGTGACTTGCGAACTAGGTTTAGTTTTATTAGATAACTGTAAAACTGAGAGGTTTCCTCGCAGTTTTAATACAAATAAAGAGCGGACCGTATCTCCCTCATTCTGGTTTCTTCTATCTGTGTTTGCTAAAGTCATTTTGTATGATGATTTGATATTTTAAAAGAGTACCGAGAGTTTTTTACGCCGTCTTTTTCTCTCGGCCTACACCCTCTTTGCCGATGAGTAGGGATGTCTACCGAGACAAATTTAATGACGTGGAATAAGTGATACATTTTTTTTATATAGAACAGGGGGCAAACGGGCAGGACGCTCTACCGATGTTAAGTGATACCGCCTCCCATGGACACTCAATGCCAGAGGGCTCGCTAGTGCGTTGCCGGCCTTTTAAGTATTTGTACGCTCTTTTCTTGAAGGACCCTAAGTCGAATTGGTTAGGAAATACTTCAGTAGGCAGCTGATTCCACTTAGTTCCCAAGTCCAGATTAGACTTATTATGCTCTTAACAAATTGGAGTACGACTGCGACCCACAACTTAGGGGCGGCTTAACATCAGTGTCAATCCACAAAGTAACTGAACGGTTTACTTTACAGTCTATTTTTATTGTGTAAATCAACTCACAAACCCCCGCACCAAGGTAACATTTAAAAATGACGCAGCAGCCAAGCAACCAATGCTGAAAACGCCCGTAAGAACTCGCGATTATAACAAAAATAGACTAGCAAATAAACAGACACAGCCATTCTCACTAAGATAGACCAAATAAAATGAAGATGGACAGGTCATATGTTACGCGCCCATGCAAACTGGAGCAAAATACTGACAGAATGGTACCCTAGAGACGGAAAACGAAAGACCACCAAGAGATATATAGAGATAGATAGATAGAAGACAGAGAACAATGGAAAGGGTCAGAGGAGGCCTTTGCCTAGAGGCACACCGAGCTCCGAGATATATGTAGTGAAAATATATTAGAGATCACAGAGTTTCGGAATATAAAGGCTATCAGCGGTATCACTTAACATCAGATGAGCCTCCTGCCCGTTTGCCCACTGTTCTATAAAAAATGCCCCATCTGCTCGCTATGGACGGAAGGCACGGTAACAGTTTTCCTTTAGTCTAACCTAACTTATGAACTATAAAAAAACGTCTGGCACTCGGGGACTGCCGCGGTAAAGCTATTGCGTAGCATTTTTTATCAACTTATGCAGTTAATAATTATTTATTTATTTTTTAATTTATGCAGTAGGTATTTGTTTTTCTTTGATATTAATTCAAGTTTTTTCTTTGATATTATTTCAATCTACCACTCTACCAGACTCAGACTAAAACGCCTATAAGCGTCTGTCTCACTCTTACGCGTACCGGCTGCACCGGCCGCGCTCACGCTACGTCACTGATCTCGTCAGAGAGATGGGAATGCGCAGTATGCGTTCTGTCCCACTCTAACGCGTATTAGCCGCACCTATATTACGTCATCGTGTGTTAGGTTTTTTCTTTACGGAATTTCTTGATTCGGTCGCCGCGCTCAAAGCGATAAAATCTATGCAATAGCTTAAAAATTATTCTATTCTTAAATTACATGTATTACAATTTACATTATTAACAACTCAACGTCTCGAATCAAGAAATCGCGAGAGCCATATAAAGTTAACTAAAGAGTACTTGATATTCTTAATCGAAATATTGGTTTAACGCAATCTTAGTTTGGGAAATCTAAAACCTGGGGGGTGATAATGTAAAACAAAAGACATTCGTTTGTCATGTCGAACGTGACATGTCAGTTGTCAATGCGTATTGGACGACAGATTTTAAGCTATTGCATAGATTTTATCGCGGGCTTTGAGCGCGGCGACCGAATGGAGAAATTCCGTGACGAAAAAAATCTAACACACGATGACGTAATATAGGTGCGGCAAATACGCGTTAGAGTGGGACAGAACGCATACTGCGCATTCCCATCTCTCTGACGAGATCGGTGAACGCGGCCGGTGCAGCCGGTACGCGTTAGAGTGAGACAGACTATATAGGCGTTTTAGTCTGAGTCTGGTAGAGTGGTAGATTGAAATAATATCAAAGAAAAACAAATACTGCATAAATAAAAATATATAAATAATTATTAACTGCATAAGTTGATAAAAAATGCTATGCAATAGCTTTACCGCGGCAGTCCCCAAGTGCCACACGTTTTTTTTATCTTAAATCACACACGATTATACTAGCTGACCGGGCAAACGTCGTTTTGCCATGTATATCATTTCTAATAAAAAAATAGGGGTTGATCGTAGAGAGGTGAAAGTTAGGGGTTGTATGTATTTTTTAATGCTGTATCATAAAAAAATAAAAACAGAAAATATCTAAAAATAAAAAAAAAATATTCAGGGGTGGACTACCCTTAACATTTAGGGGGATGAAAAATAGATGTTGTCCGATTCTCAGACATACTCAATATGCACACAAAATTTCATGAGAATCGGTCAAGCCGTTTCGGAGGAGTTTAACTACAAACACCGCGACACGAGAATTTTATATATTAGATATCGTAATACCAAACAAATTAAACCAATACAAAGCTATAACTGTAGTATCAAAAAGCTATAATATTTTAAAATCGAATTTATTAATTGAATGTGTTTTTGATGCATATGACGGCTCATTGTTCTAGTGATTAGTACCCCTGACTGCAAATCCATGGGTCCCGGGTTCGATCCCCGGCTGAGACAAACATCAATGTGATGAGCATTTGGTGTTGTGCTTAGGTCTTAGGTGTTTAAATATGTATTTATATGTCTATCTATCTATAATATGTATGTATATCCGTTGCCTAGTACCCATAACACAAGCTTCACCAGCTTAGCATGGGACTAGGTCAATTGGTGTGAATTGTCCAATCATAAATAATCTTTAAAAATATTCGACCCTACTTTCAATCTTAGGTGGTTTAAAACGATATTAAGGTGTATTTGAAGGTAGACCTTGTTGAGAAGGTTTCCTAGATGGAACATTCTGTAGTTGGCATCACTGGTTACACTGTCATCTGACAGATTTTCGGAGTCATAAGTCAATTTCAACGTAATCAAAGCGTAAGACTCCCGAAAATCCAATACGTTAAAAATGTATTGGATTTTGCCATAAGGGAGCTTTTTTTTCCTTTTGTAAAACGCGTTATTGTTTATATTATTTTCGACGTGTCACTACTTTACACCACATAATGGTAACATTTAGGTATAAAGAGTCACTGGGTGGTCACGAAACGTTTTACTATTGGGTACAGAAAAACGTTACGGCGAGTAACATGGGGGGTCAATAATCTCCAAAAATTGCGTTACGTAATACTTGAACGCTCCCTAAGCAGAGAATCTCTCTCGATCGAAAAATAGTATACGTGATATCTTACTATACCCCCCCTCCACCTTGTGATATTCCGTGATGTTTGCTGAACCCCTCCCCCCATTCTAACCTCACGTGATTAATGGACAGCCCCATAGAAGGAGGAAGACGTAATTTATGTACTTACATACATATATAAAATGAATAATTCTAATTAGTATAAGACATGTTAACTATTTATTTTACATTAAATAAATGTTATCATACTCAAGGAATAGAAAGCTATAAAAAATTAATGCTCCAAGTTCTATAATAGCCTATTTGATATTCCCATCAAATATGAATGATTTGTCTTTTTGTATGTTTATAACACTATGAAATTTCATTTGATATAAGATAAACAAAAATATCCACTATATTATGGGTAATAAAAGACACTTTCTTCATTTAATCCAACCCAATTATAGACCACAAGCCCATGAACAAAAAATACCTGTGAAATGACCCAACGTGAATTACGTTTAGAAGGCTGTTACTATATCTGAAAATAACCTCTGAGCACTATGCCGTAATTTCTGAGCGGTACATGTGAGTACGTGAGTGAATGGAATTTCTCAGATACGAAGGAGGAATTTCGACTAATTATTAATGTACGGCTTTGTTATAAGTGTATAGATGATTTTAAAAATGTCGAAAAACCTAGTGCCGTACTAAAGTGATGGTGCCGGAAGTCGGTGCAAAGTTTTAATTCGACGATAGTTGCAGAAGCAATATAGGTCATTTATGTAGTTTTTCGACATTTTTTTAAATCATCTATACACTTATAACAAAGCCGTACATTAATAATTAGTCGAAATTCCTCCTTCGTATCTGAGAAATTCCATTCTCTCACGTACTCACATGTACCGCTCAGAAATGACGGCATAGTGCTCAGAGTTATTTTCAGATATAGTAACAGCCTTCTAAACGTAATTCACGTTGGGTCATTTCACAGGTATTTTTTGTTCATGGGCTTGTGGTCTATTACTTAAAATATTTGTTTTAACATACATTATCTAAACTTAAAATGTTCCTTGAAATGAAACTTCTTTAGGCGCATGAGGGTAAAATTTTTACGGAACGTCACGAAGATGTGCAGCGTTTTTGTCGAAGAAAAGGGAGACAGCGATTGAGAGAGTGAGAAGGGCGTATTACCTTATAGAAATTCTATATTTAAAATTAAAATTTCGTAAAGAGAATTTATGAAATATTAGTATTTTATATTTTGACATGACATGGAGATGGACGGATCATATGCTACGGAGCCCCAATGGAGCAAAATATTGACGGAATGGTACCCTAGAGACGGAAAACGAAGAAGAGGTCGACCACGCAAGAGATGGGTGGACGAACTGAAACTAACAGCAGACTACAACTGGAGAAGTATCGCAAAAGATAGAAAACAGTGGAAAGGTTGGAGGCCTTTGCCAAGAGGCACAACGAACTCCGACTATACTGGAGTGGAAATATATTAAAGTTCATATATACAAAATCACAGAGTTTCGGAATTTAAAGGCTATTTATTTCGTCTAACAAAAACATATTATTTTTGCATTCAAAAGTCTATTTAGGCAGAAAAGGCTTTTAAACATCGTGCTACGACCGAATTAATGAGGGTGGAACCACATGCATAGTCTTTATAAAAGGTTTTTATATAAATATGTTATTTATATGTTCTAATATGTGTAATATGTTACTTGTACGCAGTTTTGGAACTTAAAAATACAAAATAAATAATTTAACTGATTGCAAAAATTCTTCAGAAGATATTCTTTTGACAACAGACAACCAAATAAATTATCGTTTAATACATTTAAAACTCCTGATCCTATTGAAGACTTGCAATTGGACCTGGTTATAGAAGGAATTTAACTTATTATTAAATCTTCCTTAGAATCATAATATCGTCCCCGTAGAGCGAAAATTAATTAAGTCCAAAAAACCTGTTTCGAGATAATGAGGGTTAAAGTTTTTAAATATATAAATTGCAATGTTTTTCGTTTCATTTCGAAGGAAATCAAATTAAGTAAAAATGATGCTAGCTACCCAAAGCATGATTAAGTTATTACTGAGAAAACCTAAAAAAAAAAAAGGGTGCGTGTACTTATGTACGCGCGTAAGAAGTTATACTTCTTTGGCATTATTAAAAATAGTTTTTAATTGCATGCAAATAATTAATTACAATTAAATAATCAAAGACTGGAAAAGGAGTCATTATAGTCAATTAAGTTCAGTTTACATTTGAAAAATTAAATAAATAATTATTTATTATTATTCTCTTACATTAAGTGTAACATAAATTCTATTTAGTTAAAAGTATATATAATTATATATTTAGAACATCTCTACCAAACACTAAGAAGTATGTTGTAGCTTTGGCAGTATTGCACAATATAAAATTAATAAATTTCTTTGAAAAATTAATCAAAACTCCTTTATTTGTTTAAAAGGTAAATGACAAATGTCATTATGGTCATTCAAAATTCTTGGCAAACGAACTTCACGCATATTCTATTTCTTTTTACTTGTAGATTGTCTTATTCCTATCTCGCTCGCGCACGCTATAATCACACTCCCAATTTTGTGTCACAGGTGCGCGCGCATCGTAAAATTTCACTCATAAATTTTTCATAACGCGCCTAAAGAAGTATAACTTCAAAAAAAAAAAAATTGTTTGTTCTCTGTAGAATATCCGATGTAGTTATGAATTAGTTAATATTCGCCCCTAGTTAGTGATTTTTCACTCAGATCGAGTTTATTTTTATGATAAATAACTTGAGTTGGGTAATTTACGCCTAACTGGTAGATATACATAATGAAAAAAAAAACTTTTTTTAAACTTAATAGTTAAAAGGCATTTTGTTTTATAATAGTATTAAATCAAACTACTTTTATATAAAAAAATCTTCTAGACTCCCTATGGATTAAAAATTTTAATATAAAAGTAATTAAATCATTTATTTTTATAAGCCATCTAAGTTTTTGATAAATAAAAAATAGTTAACATGATTTAGTTATTTCTCTTATTTTCTATTAGGACCAAAGAATAGATTTATTTAATTTTCACTTTTTGCAAATCTGAAACTAGGATACCTACAAAATTGACGGTTAGACAGTTAAATAAAGAAAAAAAATAGTTTTAATGGCATAGATAACTCGTTTTGGCAATTTTTTGACTTAATTAGTTTTCACTCTACGGGGACGATATTTTGAAGTGAAAGTTCTTTAGGCGCATGAGAGTAAATTTTTACGGATACGTCACGAAGATGTGCAGCGTTTTTGGCGAAGAAAAGGGAGAGAGCGATTGAGAGAAAGTGTGAATTACATTATAGAAATTCTATTTTTAAAATTAAAATTTCGTCAGACTTAAAAATTAGTTTGCCAAAGAAGTTTCACCTCCGACATGTGTCACTCCACACACTTTTTTTTTAATCTATCTCACCTCAGGATGAACTATATAGTCTTCGATCTGATTGCAGGCCTCTTTGAATGCGGCTGACTTGCTTGATTTAATCAATTGCTCCTTATGTTCTTGGTAAGGTTTAATATTATGCTCTTCTATCCATGCACTGCAAAGTAATTAATAATAAATATATAGCCAATATGAGTTACACCTATTGGAGCATTTATTTTTCTAATAGGCACGAGGTGTCTCTTCTTTATGTTAATAGTACAATTTTGTTTTCCTGGGCAAAGTTATATTTTGACAAAGGAGTCCCTTGGTGGTGCATAAGAATTATCTTTATGTATAATAGTAAATTATAATAGAAAAATATTTAAACAAGTGCTCTTGTGTGTGAACATTCTGCCCTAAAAGACAGTGGTGGTTGAGACTTAATATCACATTTACCCAATTTCTTCATGTTATACAAGCTAAAAGGTTAATAAATAATGGTATATTTTCAATTTAATTATTTTTTTCATTTAGTTGGCGAGCAAGTTCATTCGGGTGACAGCTTAACCACTCTTTGTATTTAGCTGCCAGTCTCCGGTTTTCCTCTTTGATAGTTCTCATTTTAAGGTGTTCGTGAACTTCGTTGTTGGTTATGTACCATGGTACTTTTGCAATTGCTCTTAGGATCTCGTTCTGTTGTCGCTGGAGTATATTTATGTTGGTATCACTTGCGCTGCCCCACAGTTGGAGGCCATATGTCCAAATGGACTTTAGGATGACTTTATATATAAGAAGTTTGTTATCTAGAGAAAGTCTTGAGTTTCTTCCTAGCATCCAGTAAAGGCTGTTGTAATTTAGCTGTAGCTCCTGCTTTTCAATTTAAAATAACATATTTAATCTTACTGTTATACACTAAAACAACGACTGTCAGTTTTAAATGAGACAAAACTTACTTCTTGTAATTCATAAATCATTAATTTGCACCTTTATAAGTCTTAGTATGGTTGGTTTACATTTAACTTCTTTTCCCTCTGCATTTTTAATTAAATAATAACAACTTCCTCAATACAAACAGCAATACCAAGCTCTTGTTTGAGAATTGTATAAGTATAATCATTATCTGAGATATATACTTACTAATTATTGGTTCCAAAGAAATAAATGCATTGCACAGACATTCCTTTTTTTGGATGCTTCAATTCAGGAGTTGGTATTGATACCTGAAAATTAAAAAAATATATTGTGATATTTTCCTCTCTCTATGTTACTCTCTCTTTCTAACACACTTACGATGAGAGTGAAAGAAATAGAATACAATTTACTCCAATAAATTTTATAAACATCAAAATAATTATATATTCAATTATGGTCCCAACACATGCGTAAAGCATTATTTGTACGGCCTTTTTCTGGGCAATGACCGTAATACCTGGCAGCGGCGTCAGCTATTATACACAAATTCCCGCTCATATTAACAAATTGATTGCATTCCAATTTGAAAACGTAGTAATAAGTGCAACAATTTTTAACAACAATATACTTTTGAAGAGCCACTGAATTTGAAAAAATACGTTTAAAATAGCGTAACTAGAGGACTCACCCGGCCTGGCCAAGGGCTGAAACCCTTCATCTTAGCCCTGAAACAAAAAATTTATAGTCTTAGATATTAAATGTGTATTGCTGGAAATGTTATCGACATTTAAAGCTAGGTTTTATCTACATACCAAACTAAATCACCAAGTTTATATCCTTCAGTCATTGTACACGTCCACCTTCGATACGATTCCACGACGAACTAATTCAGAGACAACCTAAAATTTATAGAGACTTGTAAAAGAAAAACAATTCACTCGGCGTCATTTTTTTGTTTATGGTATGAAAGTATTACTAGTAGCAAAAAATTAATTGAGAAAAATGTTATTGGAAATTAAAGATTTTCTAAAACTTATAAATTAAACGTAAATGTTTAATTTTTCGACAGATAGATTACGATGGTGAAAAATACTTACGGGACTAGGGCTCGTAATGTTTGATAACGGCAGTATAAAGTAATTAATAATATATTGTTTGTTATTTTAATGAAGAAAGTGTACACAATAGTGTCGCCGTCTTTAATCGTTGGGCATGCACAGATAACTAATATATTCATCTCCTAACTCCAGTTGCTTACACTTTACAAATGTCAATGTCAAATTAGAATAGCGGCAAAGTAAATTAAAATATTAACTTATTTCGAATTTTAGTAAATCAAAACAATGTCTAAACGTTTTTTTCCCCAGAATTATGGTGAAAGAAAAAAGGCTAAACTAGATGTAACTGTGTCTGACCATAATTTTCCTCTCAGTCAAAATTCGACTTCAAATAAGGGTAAATTTTTCACGATGTTTACAAGCTACTACTATAATTATTTACATTTATTTTACTAGTTTTAAAATTCTTGTTTTATAGTTACATTTCTTGTAATAAGAATTTTTTTTAATAAATCTTAATATATAATTTCAGCGACAATCCAGTCCGACGCCTGGGGTGACGATAATGATGATGATCTCCTTCTCTTGGCAAGCCAAGCATGTGAGGACGCCTACAATGAGCAGAATAATAGTACCTTACCTGATTATACTTTGTGTATGCAGCCTGGTTCATCTAGCACACAATTTGAGTACTCTGAACCAAGTACTTCTAAGGCTCTATTCGCCTTTAAAAAGCCAACATCAAGCCCGTACAGTACAATATCAACAAATTTAAGGAATAAATGTGAGCGAATATCCTCCCCATTGCCAGGACTGACAACTAAAGTTAACAAAGAGCATGTTAATGTTAGTGATGACTTTATTATAAATGATAATATATTTAAAGGCCAGGACTCAGGCCAATTTTATAAACAACTTTTGCAACTGCAAGAAGAAAATGCTAAGTTAAAATCTGAGAATGGAAAGTTATTAGAAAAATGTGTAACTAAAGAAGGTACATATTTTTATTAATATTTTCTAGAAAATAATATTTAGTTTATTTTACTAAACCTTACTTTAATGAAGAAGTAGATACAATTTCTTACATTTGATAATAAACTTGTTTTCTTGGATTCAAACCTTTATAATCTGCAAGAACCAATAATAACTTCTTTATACATTTGCTTGTATTGCATTAACTTACTGTTTAAAATACACTTCAGTAATACATTTAAAAACTTTACTCTTATACATGATCACTTTTATGTGTATTAAAATTATATAAATAATAGAAAATACCATCTTTTTTTTTTTACTATACATGTGAACAATGCTGGCCTAGTGATTTGACCACCAATAAACTATTATTATATTTGACGGCTAAGAAATTATATTACAGGTGAGGCATCAATACTTCGAACACAGCTAAAAACATGTCAAATATCTGTGGATAATGCTCGTCTGGAGAAGATTAAGACTCAAGAAAAAGCTCAAATGGAATGGACGGATAAGCTAGGAAATGCCAACAAGCAGATAAATGATTTAAGGACACAGCTTGATTTTAAGGTATATTATTTGGTATTTTGTTTATTTCACTTTATATCTAATCAACCTTTGGTCTAGGGATGTGACATTCTGCATAAAAAATCGTTTTTTTTATTAATAGATTATTTTTTTAGTATGAAAAATAATAGATTTTTTTATTAATCAACTTTTTCTAATTTTTCAATTAATTTCAAAATAAAACCCTAAATATTTAATTTTTCATGGTTTTTTTAATTAAAAATAAACAATAGTAATTATAAACACAAATTAACGTTTAAGAATAATCAAAATCGAAATTAACTTAATCTCGTTTTGATGGATTTTAGATGAAACTTGATAAATGCTGAGTGTATGCCTTTTCAGTAGCACATTGCAGTATTTTTGTTGTCTTTTTAATTGTATGTTATCTTTTGCTGCTGAATAAATTTATTTTACTTTTAAATTATAGTGTTCCATTCAAACTTGAGTTTTTGTAAAATTTACTGGTTTTGTCATCCTTTCGATGTTTTACAAAAAAACATCAATGCATCAAGTATATCAATACATCTTCAAAGCATCGGATTCAATGTATCGCATTGTAAACATCGATGTATATCGAATATCCCTAACAGTTTGAGGTCCGGGTTATAAAAGACCAGAGATGATTGATTTTCAATTATAAAAATAATTGTTTATTTTAAATATAAAAATCGTGTAAAAGAATCGATTTTAATGGATTTTTTTAATAATCGAATATGTTTTCACATCCCTACTTTGGTTCTTCAAGCTAATTCTTTTTACTATATACTAATATATCAATTTTGTTTTTCAGAATTTGGAAATAATTAGCATAAAAGAGAAGTGTAAGATGTTAGAATCGTCTAAGATTAAGCTGACACAAGTTACCGTTGGACCAAATGATACATCATTTAGGTAATTATTGTAAATTTAAAATTGTTTTATTGCATAGATGTTTTGAAATTGAATCTGGATGATACAACTGTATTTCTCGGAATCACCATGGATTCAAAACTTCAGTGGTCCCCTCATATTAACGGATTGGCCAAGAGACTTCGACTGTCAATACAGCTAGACTTGTCTATTTTAGTTACTTTCATAGTTTAATGACTTATGGCTTATTATTATGGGGTCATGCTGCTGATGTCGAAACTATTTTCATCCTGCAGAAGAGGGCTATTCGTGCAATCTATAATTTAAAATGTAGGGAATCTCTTAGAGATATATACTTACCTTTCCCTCGCAATATATTTATGAAAATATTATGTATGTATACAAAAATAGTGATAAGTTTACTAGAATAGAACATACGCATAATGTTAATACTCGGAACAAACACAGGCAGTAATTTCCCCGTACTAGACTATCTAAAGCTAGTAATTCTTTTTTGGGGAAAGGGATACTCTTCTTTAATAAAATCCCAGAGGCTCTTTTATCACTGCCTTTCAATAAATTTAAGAAATGTATTAAAGAAAAGCTGTGTAAAAAGGCTTACTATAAAGTCAACGATTATCTAGTTGATAAAAGGGCCTGGGACTAGTGCTAGACAGGCTACTTCTAATTAATTTGCGATATTTGTTTTAAATAAGTGTTGTTTGATGATTTGCTGTTTTAAAAGAGTACCGAGAGTTTTTTACGCCGGCTTTTTCTCTCGGCCTACACCCTCTGTCTTCTTTGCCGATGAGTAGGGATTAATAATTGAATGACGTGGAATAAGTGATACATGTTCCATAATAAACATTTTTTTTTTACTGTGTATTTTCACTGAAGTAATCATCTGTCTCTTTCTATCAATCTGAATATTAAACTTTGACAAAAATACAATATGTTAAAAGAGGAATTATTAATAATTAGAACAGTAATTATTATATTGCTCCAGTTTAAACAATTCGTATGACTCCAAACTTAGCGATTCAAAAGAGTGGTGGAGAGTTTCTTACCCGCTCTATGCCGTTGGCTTTCGAACTGGTAGTAAATGTAAATTTATAATCAATTTTGGATCCTTATTTCATAAAGGATATTAGTATGATTGAAAGAAAATCCACGAAAATGATCAGGTAACTCAGGAAGAAATCTTATAATGAGCGTCTGAAAGCACTTGACCTTACTGATTTAGGAAGTAGGAGATTAAGAGGAAATCTCATTGAAACCTATAACATCCTCACTGGCCGCTATAATGTTCCAGGAATTGAGAAGCTCTTTTAAGTGAAAATACACATTTGAGGGGTAGTTCTTTAAAACTTAAGACCACTCAACATAACACAAATTCCCTTAAGAAACTTTCTCCCAAACCGAGTAGTGGCCGACTAGAACCATCCAGTGCACCATCTTTGAACACCTTTAAAAATAGATTGGATAGTTTCTCCAAATCTCAAAATACACGCGCATCAGCTTATTAAGCTGCTAGTGTGTTTATATACAAAAGTACTTACCTATATGAATAAAGTTATTTTGAGCTCGAGTTTAAAATATTACAATTGAACGTTTAATATTGATTGTGTATTGTATATTCCCTATTATTCTTGGGTTATGAATTATGTTCACATTAGAAATTGTTTAGCATTAATTTAATTTTACATAAACCATAGTTTCTTTTACGTTCCGTATTTGAGTTCACAAAATAAAAAAATTGCCGATCTGTTATAAAGGTGCGCTTACACGGGCAACTAAAATTGCTCAATTCCAGTCAATACTCGTCAACTATGACGTCACGACTACATCAAGCAATTTACGGCAACGGCAACAAGCATCAATACTGCACAATAAAATATTGAGGGTACTAATTGCTCGGCGACACGAATGGACCGATCTGGAGCAATTAATGGTGCAATTTCAATAAATTCAATAAATAATAATAATAATTGCCGCCGCAGCAAGAACAATGTCGTCCATAGCGAGCGAATACTGAATTGCTCGTGTAGGACAGTATTGCCTAGTTGATGAAGTTGCGCCATATCGCTCAATATTGTATTGCGCAGTATTGATGCTTGTTGCCCTTGCCGTAAATTGCTTGATGTAGTCGTGACGTCATAGTTGACGAGTATTGACTGGAATTGAGCAATTTTAGTTGCCCTTGTAAGCGCACCTTAAGAAATTCCCCTAATTTCAACTTCTAATCTTATTTTTGTGTGTTTATTTCAGTCATAAACAGAACAGTTACATAGAAAGAGAACCACAAGTGAAAAGGACAAAGAGTACGAACAGTGCGCAGACTGACCAGTCACAATTTTTGAGGTTCAATAAAATGACAAGAATTGGTAAGTTGTCATTTCTTTTCTACTATAGATTGGAATTACATTTAAAAATATTTAAATCTTTCCCTTGTAATGGAGGAGGAGCAGTGTTGGCCTAGTGGCTTCAGCGAGCGACTCTCATCCCTGAGGTCGTAGGTTCGATCCCCGGCTGTGCAGCAATGGACTTTCTTTCTATGTGCGCATTTAACATTTGCTCGATCGGTGAAGAAAAAAATCGTGAGGAAACCGACATGTCTTAGACCCAAAAAGTCGACCTTGTGAGATCCTAGAGACCTACTTGCCTATTAAATTTAAAAAATGATCATGAAACAGATATACATATTCAGTAAGTCTGCGAATCGGCTACTATCTATCTTTCAAACCCCTAAGTTTTTTAGGATTTTGTTTTGTTTTTATTTTTTTATGATACAGCATACAAAAATACATACAACCCCTAATTTTCACCCTCTACGATTAACCCCTATTTTTTATTATAGTAGATAGTTATTTTTATTGAACTAAAGGAATGTTTCCTAGAAATAATATACGTTCAAGTATTACGTAACGAGTTTTGGGAGGGGGGGGTCCTTTTGTAAAACGTTACGATGCGGGGCGGGGATTGAATTACGCGTTATTGTTAATATTATGTATTTTCGACTTACACAACATAATAGTGACTAAAGAGTCACTAGGTGGTCACGATACGTTTTACTAGACTTGGGTATAAAAAAACGTTACGGCGCGTTACATGGGGGGGGTTAATAATCTCCAAAAATTGCGTGACGTAATACATAAACGCTCCCAAAACGACGTTTGCCGGGTCAGCTAGTTTTATTATAAAGAAAAGACACGAACCATGGCCTAGCGCCCTCTACCTACAGGGTCATAGAGGCAAACTGAATTAATAAAAAAATGTATTATATTAAATTTGATTACTTAATTTATATGGGCCATGGGACACTGTTTTTATAAATAAACTGTGTTTCTAGATTTCGTGTTAATTTTTTGGTAGAACAGCAAATTCTAATTAAATATTTTCTTCGCTTCGGGCTAATTCCTCTCACTCATGGTGAGCGAGTGCGTTGACGTCCTTTTAGGTGGTACGCTGATCTCTTGGAATAGTGAAAATTGTTTACTGTTATCTCTTAGTTATATATTTTTTTCTGTGTTTATTTTTCAAGGGGGTTTAAATGATTTTTATTTTCAGAAGTATCAAATCTAAAACAATTTCTTCCTTTAATAATGGAATCTACTAGCGACCAACATTCCATACTGGAATATAATGAAAAATTAAGAAAAGTGGACGCATCAGTTAATAAGTGCCGGGTGTTTAGTACTTTTCATCGCCTACCCTCCACGCCAAACGCGGGTAGAAGGAAAAAAAGATGTAGTATAACCAATGTGTATGAAGATCTCACTTGTATAGCTAGTGGGAACGGGATAGATAGATATAATAATGTGAGTATTTTTTATCTATTTTTGAAGTGTAACTTCTTTAGGGAGCGTTCAAGTATTACGTAACGCAATTTTTTAAGATTATTGACCCCCCCCCATGTAACTCGCCGTAACGTTTTTCAGTACCCAATTACAGTACTGTACCCAAGTATAGTAAAACGTGTCGTGACCACCTAGTGACTCTTTAGTTACTATTATGTGGTGTAAGTCGAAAAAAATATTGACAATAACGCGTAATTTAATCCCCGCCCCTCATCGTAACGTTTCACAAAAGTAACCCCTCCCCCAAAATACGTTACGTAATATTTGAACGCTCCCTTAGGCGCATCAGGATAAAAAATTTACGGAACGTCACGAAGATGTGCAGCGTTTTTGTCGAAGAAAAAGGAGAGAGCGATTGAGATTTGAACACCGATGGTGTTTATTATCAATATCATTATTATTAAGTAACTAAATTACCATTTTTTTATAAGGGCATAGAACCAAGATCTTTTTTGCTAAGACCCAGTTGATCCAGCTATTTTAGAAAATGTGGACATAAGTTAGCAATTATGATAATAATGAATTTGTTATATTATTTGGTAATTGTTATCATATTTATGTATATAGAAAATATACATAACAACTAATTTTAGTTCTGGTTTTTAATTAGCCTTAGTATCATTCATTAATATAGAAAGACTGGCAAAATTAAATTATGGGATTTGGGCAGCTTAATTACTCAATAATTAATTTACAAAGAAGTTTCACTTCTGACATGTGTTGACACGCACTTTTTTGAAGTGAAACTTCTTTATCGAGGTTGGAAAAAAATTTAGTGTAACATTTTTTCGTTACGCGTCACATTTTTCGGTTACGCGCCATGTTGCTTTTTGAAGTCAAACTTCTTTATCAACGTATGGGAGAAATTTTGTAGCAAATCGTCACGTTTTTCAATGATAGTAATAATTCTATTACAATTAATGAAATTCTATAATAATCTTCGTAGTAATAAGGTAAAATGAAATATTTGTATTCATGTCTATGATAATAAAAGCCTTTTGTTAAACTTTATCTAATTTAACGAATTTCTGTAAAGTTGCATATAGTAGATCATTTTTCGAAAAATAAGATCATAAAGAAGTTTCACTTCTTACGTGTGTACACCTAGTACACGCACAATTTATTTTTAATAATGTTTGAGTCCTTGGAATTAATATCTGTTAGTTTCATTTTCTGAACAACTATTTGTAATACATGTATTTTTGCACTTCTTGTCTACCTTATGTAATTTAATACATTTTCTCACAGTGGTTGCCTGGAAGAGATCGCTCGAAAGCGATAAGGCCGCCAGTTGCCTTCTTCTATACATGTAATTTTGTTAAATTTTTATATCATAAAGCAACATTTGTAAATAAATAAATATCTTTAGTCTCGTAATTTTATGATTTTTTTTTATGTTTTGTCGTTAACCTCTTTGGGATGTCTACTGCGTGCATCGTCCTCGGTGCTCATTACGCCTCGTTAAAATTAGCAAACCATGCAACGGTTGGAGTTTCCTGGAATCCGAATAATGTTTATCAAACCAAGCCTTGACTTCGATAGTATTTCTTTTCACCAAAAAGCAATAGCAACAGTTCTTTCACTCATAATACTGTATAAAGTATTTGTCTAATTTTTTTATGTATCATTTGAAGAGCTAACTAAAAATGATATTAATTTAAAATGATACTATTAGCACCGTCTATGTGTTAGCCTACGAACTTTTCATCCCACCGATTATGTACAAAAATACTTTATAGAAAAATTTTGGAGGCGCCGGGTATCGATCCCGGTACCTCTCGCATGCTAAGCGAGCGCTCTACCATCTGAGCTACGCCCCCTGATACATAAAGCAGTGAAATTATCTTTTGCTTTAGATAACGTAAAACTAAAACTTGTACCGCCCGCGGCAAGTAAAAGTCGACCACGGAAACAACTTCTGTTCTTGTTGTTAAGCAGTTTTGGCCTAGTGGCTTAAGCGTGCGAGCTTGAGGTCGTAATTTCAAATCACGGCTGTGCATAAGGGAGCGTTCAAGTATTACGTAACGAATTTGCCAAGGCGGTTTCCTCTTATGAAACGTTACGAAGCGGGGCGGGGATTGAATTACGCGTTATTGTTAATATTATTTTCGACTATCCGGTACTTTAAACCATATAATTGTAACTTTTAGATATAAAGAGTCACTGGGTGGTCACGAAACGTTTTACTATTGGGTACAGAAAAACGTTACGGCGCGTTACACGGAGGGGGGTTGTCAAGAATCTCCAAATTTGCGTGACGTAATGCTTGAACGCGTAATGAAATTTCTTTCTTTGTGCGCAATAAACACTTGTTCCTATGGTCAAGGCAAACATCGTGACCAAACCGGCAATAAACCCAAAAATCAATGACATGTATCAGCTGATGTCTAAAGAAACGGATGTGATGAGTGATCTAAGACCCAGGCCCATAGGGTTGTAGCGCCATTGGATTATTATACTTATCCGATTTCACAACGCAACCATGCACGAGACGCCGAAGCTGTACCAGCTGCAGTCTTTGTGAGGCGAAAGTATGGCGTCCAGGCGTCCATGCGTCGGGTTGTCTCTCTCCCTAAAATATGGCGAGGGGGCCGATAGCTGGCTATGCGTCATACTCGTGAACGGGTGCTACTTGTGGTGACTGGTCGTATTTCAATTCGTGTATGCGGTGATGTTAGTTATTTGTGACTAAGTATTAGCGTGTTGTTCCCACGAGAATGTAAGTGCGTACTCCTATTTCTCCAAGCCTCTTGCTGATAGAAGACAAATCTTTGTTTTTTAATTTATTTATTATTTTTTATTACTTAAAATGTCATGTGGAACATGGTGTAATGGTTGCAGCTCCTTATAAACGTTGTGTATAATAAAAAACTTGTCGATTAAAAAGAGTGGCGGAGAGTTTATTGCCAGTTCTTCTCTTCCGTTCTACGCCCTTGATTCAAGAACTGGCAGTAAATGTAAAATTAAAAGCATTTAATGTATATTTCTTTTTGACGTTCAATGTTCAGATTTCATTTGAACATTGAGCAACTGCTGACACGGCTCACGTGGTTGATCTAAATTTTAACAGCTGCGCGATACACCCACACAAGAATAATATTATGTATGTGCGAATAGGTGTAAGTAGCATTTATCTCTGCCTTTGAATAAATGTATTAAAGAAAAGCTGTGTAAAAAGGCTTACTATAAAGTCAACGATTATCTAGTTGATAAAAGGGCCTGGGACTAGTGCTAGAAAGGCTACTTCTAATTACGAGTTTTTTACGCCGGCTTTTTCTCTCGGCCTCCCTCTGTCTTCTTTGCCGATGAGTAGGGATGCCTAAAAGTTCAAATTTAATGACGTGGAATAAGTGATACATGTATCTTATGTTCCATAATAAACATATTTTATTTTTCTTTTTATTTTATAAAAAAAAATCTGTTTATTCATTTTAAGTACTTATGTATTAAAATGTGTTAGATTTGGGAACCCTTTTAAGTAAGATATACCTGTGTCAGGATTCCCAAAACTCCCAGGGTTCCCAATTTAAGATATATAACAATAAATCAGATTTGAATATTGCTGTCTTCCTTCGCTTCCTCTCTTAGTGATGACTCCTTCAAGCTCTTAATTATCATGGTAAGCCCGATAGCTTTGAGATAATCCCACCACCATGAACTTCTGATCCTACTAGGGCTCCGTCTGTTACCTTAGGTCTCTTAGTGCAGACATCCCGTACTTATTTTACACTATTTATGTGTTAGGGTACATCTGTAGGGCTTAGGGATTCGTAGGTTTGTTAGGTTCTTACATCTCACCCTCTCATATATTTAGTTATCTCGTGCAGCGTTATACATATACTACATATACTATACAGAAACTCCTGATATTTAATACATATAAATATTAAGTTGTGGAATAGGCTGCCCGACTCCATACGATTGGCTACCTCTCTAACATCTTTTAAAACTCTTCTGTATAAACATTTCTTAACCTTATCCTATCCTGATCAATCGTGACCTGTGTAATTCTTGTTTCCTTTTCTTTTGCATTGCATCACTATTCGCTGTTCATGAATCTGTAAGATTAGCCATATAATAATGCCGCCCGTTGCACCCCTTATAATTTTTATGTATTGTGTTATTTGTGTTTCTTTTATTTTTATTGCAACGAAGTGTAAATAAATAAATAAATAAAATAAAATAAATTTCACCACACATTTCACAGTACACTGGCTGACAAGCTGTACCCTGTCCATGTGGACAAAATGTTTTGTTTTATCTATTTCTTCACCGTGCACGTTGTTCTAGTTCGTCAAAAGTCTATTAAATATTGCACAGTTCTGTAAGATTCAGATTGAAAAAATCCAAGAATTGTTTATCGTTAATTCAAAGAAAAGTGAATTCGAAAAGTTATATGTGATAAATTCGAATTGAATTCGTATGGGGGCGTAGCTCAGATGGTAGAGCGCTCGCTTAGCATGCGAGAGGTACCGGGATCGATACCCGGCGCCTCCAATTTTGCTTTATTTTAATTATGTTCGCATTTAGGTTGAGGGGCATCTTTTTGGGATTTGCTGTTAGGGTCATGCAGGGGGTTGTCATAAGAAATAGGTAGTAGTAGAAATAGTAATATAGTAATAGAAAGTAAACATTCGGGTTACTAATACCATTGATGTAAGTTTTTTACCACCTCCGACGACTACGTAGTCGGGGAATTATCTGGAAAACGTTTAAAAAAAAATTGTGCGTGTACTAGGTGTACACGTAAGAAGTGAAACTTCTTTATGATCTTATTTTTCGAAAAATGATCTACTATGTGCAACTTTACAGAAATTCGTTAAATTAGATAAAGTTTAACAAAAGGCTTTTATTATCATAGACATGAATACAAATATTTCATTTTACCTTATTACTACGAAGATTATTATAGAATTTCATTAATTGTAATAGAATTATTACTATCATTGAAAAACGTGACGATTTGCTACAAAATTTCTCCCATACGTCGATAAAGAAGTTGGACTTCAAAAAGCAACATGGCGCGTAACCGAAAAATGTGACGCGTAACGAAAAAATGTTACACTAAATTTTTTTCCAACCTCGATAAAGAAGTTTCACTTCAAAAATTATGTTCGCAAAAACATGTAACTATTGAGATAAATAAAATCTTTCTTACAAGCAAAGTAATTTGTTGATTTTTTATTTGTATGAACGCGATAAACTCAAAAATCAATGGATTTTATTTCACTAATAGGTAGTGAGATTTTTCGGAAAGTTTAGGTATACATAGGTTGTAAATTGTATGTAAATTGACTGAAATGTAGCGGTAATTGTTGAGGTTTTGAACATTTCCTAATTCTAAAAACATTTGACTAGAAATAAACATTCCATACAATTTGTATAGGTACAAATTGTATGGAATGTTTATTTCTAGTCAAAACCAATAATTATTGTATATTTATTATTGACGAAACTATCGTAAATTTGGAGCTAAACAGTAGCCTCGAATCTCTTTACCTCATGACGATTAACAGATTTTAGTTAGACATCGTAGATAGAGTATAGAACTAGATGAGATTTTAAAATAACACTAATAACTAAAGAGAGAAGGCATTAACGTGAAATACTTAAGTGCGAGCGAAACGGAGTATCAGTTTTTCTGGCTCTATTTGCGTATCGGGTTTTGTTTACCACCAAGGCCTTGGTGGTAAACAAGTTTTCACCGTTACTGATTAATCTGTAAAACCCAAGTCAAACCCATATTTTAAGACTTTATCCTTATAAGAGGTGTATTTAAAGTGTCAGTCCTAGTGAATTGTTGCATAATTGGCTGTAAAAGCTACAGTGAACGTAAAGAACCAAACATCTTTCATCGGTAAGTAGATTATTTTGTCACGGCTCAGTAACTTTTTTCAAGAATTATTCATTCTAATGTGTATTTTAGTCAATAATAAGCAATCTTCAATGAATTAAAACTGTAAATACGACAATTCCAAACATTTTTTTTTTTTAATTTTCTCATGGCTATATTATTGGCATATAGATATACATTATGAAGTTATGTCAATCATTCGCTATCTCACACGCTGTACGCTGATGCCTGGTCTATACCATAGTCCGTCTACGTTAGACATTTAACAGAAAGAGGCGAAAAAGTAAAATTTTGACAATCAGTTATGTCAAATTAGCATGCAAAATGTTTTTATATAAATATTTTTCTTATATATATCTATATATATAAGAAAAATGGTCTTCGTTTGAGGCTCCTTCTCGCCTAAACCACTGATCGTATCGACATGAAACTACTGCGAATTTTTTCCCAGATGGTTTATGGCTATTTATTTTTAAATTCCAACGTTCCTTCATTTTTTTATTGCTGTTTTACTTTTATGAAAATTTATACATACGGACTTCACCGCGGAAACATTCGGGGAGGCTTCCTAGAACCTCAAAACGTCAAAATCTGTTAAAAACTCGATTTTCGAAAATTTTAAATTTTCTTAGCGGGAAGTTAAAAAGAAGAATAATAAAAATATGAAAAAAATAATAATAATGAAACGTAAAATTTTATTTATTTCCTATTAAAATTCTCCCAGCGAAGCGGGCGGGAAACGGCTAGTTATATAATAAAGTAATTTTTATTCATGCTGTGCCTGATAGTAAGTTATCATGTCATTTTCGTATATATTTTGTCTTACATATTTCATAATTCCGTTTGTACATATGTACAAACATATGTTTGAGAACATTAATAAAATAAATATATGACGAAAACACTCCCTCATTCACTGCCTTTAAAAATATAATCACCATGTAATGGCACTATAAGAAAGTGTTACTTTTGGGAAGGTAATCATCGCGAAAGAGTAGATATTTTTGTGTGTTGCGTGATAAAATATCTAAGTATCACTTAAAGAGCAAAGATATGTTTGTAACATCTCAAAAATACCCATTTCAAAAATTCATTCCCCTTTAGAATGGGACATTATCCACGATTTTTATTTCCAAAATATGAAATAAAACCAGCCGTGTAAAGCTGTGTTTAGGCGCTGGTAGAAGGCATTATACTGTGACATAGGTTTTGATAGGTGTTTAGCCTACGAGCGCGAGTGAAAGGACGCAAGTATCACGTATTGTTTTACGCAATATCTAGAGTAAAGATTGCTTCCGTATTCACTTTTGATTAATCCTGTATCGGGGGGGCGTAGCTCAGATGGTAGAGCGCTCGCTTAGCATGCGAGAGGTACCGGGATCGATACCCGGCGCCTCCAAAATTTTTATAAGACTGATTTTATAAAACTCTTTTTGCGTTTATTTTAAAACCTTTTTCGGTATTTTTGACCCAAATTGCCATTATTTGTCGTAAAAACTTTCTGTTGTACACTGACTTAACTTAATCCGTGTTATATCAGTTATTTTTTTATATTTAAATTCATTAAAAAAAATCTTAAATTCTTACATAATTATGTATTAACATTGTACATTCGCGGACCCATGCGACTTCAATACAAAGAGTCCCCTCGTGGGTTGTGCTGCGATATCGCGGGCTACTCGATTGTGAGGAAGTTGCATGGATCTGGTGGCGCCTTCATAAGTTCTCATGTCATTTTCATACGTGTTTTCCTTCTATAACATATTTAAGATTGTTCTCATTTCAACTCTCCTTACGAACGTTGTGTAAAAAAAAAGGGTGCGTGTACTTATGTACGCGCGTAAGAAGTTATACTTCTTTGGCATTATTAAAAATAGTTTTTGATTGCATGCAAATAAATAATCAAAGACTGGAAAAGGAGTCATTATAGTGAATAAAGTTCAGTTTGCATTTGAAAAATTAAATTAATAAATATTTATTTTTATTCTCTTACATTAAGTGTAACATAAATTCTATGCCGTAGAATCTTCCGTGGGTAACTTCATTCTGTTAATTTTGTGTCACTATTTTATCAATTTTAATAACGTGCCTAAAGAAGTATAATTTAAACGTGGCGATTAAAAAGAGTAGCAGAGAGTTTATTGCCAGTTCTTCTCTTCCGTTCTACGCTCACTGAGAACTGGCACTAAATGTAAAGTTAGAAGTATTTCATATACATTTCTTTTTTGACGATCATAAGTGTACATTGTGTTACCTATATGATTAAATGATTTTTGAATTGAATTTGAACATGTGTGAAGTTGGTGAGCATGAAAAAAAAATTTTTTTTTAGTTCCTGAAAATATTAAAAGACGTGCTAAACGAAGTGTATAGCGATGTGAGCACCATAGCTCAGCGGTTAACGACGGCATTTCAAAGAGAGATGGACGAAAAGTACATTGAATCAACGAACAAATTTGTTCCTGCTGAATTTGAGGATCTTATTAGTGGCAGGTAATATTTTTATTAGGAGGGAAACGGGCAGGACGCTCATCTGATGTTAAATACGGCCCCAGATGGGCACCTAATGCCCGAAAGCTCGCGAGTGCGTTGCCGTTTAAGAATTGGTTAATTTCTTTATCTAATATATAAAATTCTCGTGTCGCGGTGTTTTTAGTTAAACTCCTCCGAAACGGCTTGACCGATTCTCATGAAATTTTGTGTGCATATTGGGTATCTCTGAGAATCGGACAACATCATTTTTTTCGCCCCCTAAATGTTAAGGGTAGTCCACCCCTAAATTATTGGTCTTTTTTAATTTATAAAAAATACGTACAACCCTTAATTTTCACCCCTCTTCGATCAACCCCTATTTTTATTATAAATGATATACATGGCAAAACGACGTTTGCCGCATCAGCTAGTTTTTTATATAATAGAGGTACAAACGAGCTTAACGGTACGCCCAAAAAGGGTAGTTATCGCAGCCCATGGATACCCAATTTTAGCGGATGCGTTGCCGGCCTTTGAGGGAGTTACACTCTAACTTTGAATAGTTGGAGGTCGTATCTCTCAGGGAAGACCCCACCGGGAGTGATTCCACAGTTCGCAAAAGAAATTGCCTTGTGAAACGGACTCTGGAAGACTTCCAGCCTTCAAGGTGATGTTGATGAATTCACCACTCGTACGGTGAAACGAGGCAGCAGGGATCACCCCAAACAATTCTTCAGAACACTCACCATTACACTTTGTAGTAAACGCAATGAGACGCAAATGCGTAGAGAGAGAGAATCAAGTCGATGGTAAATAAAATATTATATGCTAATGCTAGCAGTGTTGGCTTAGTGGCTTCAGTGTGCTCTCATATCTGATGTAGCTTCGATCCCCGGCAGTTAACCAATGGACTTTCTATGTGCGCATTTAACTTTCGCTCGAACGGTGAAGGAAAACATCGTAAGGCATGGCTTAGACCCAAAAAGTCGACCACGTGTGTCAGGAGGCTGATCACCTATTTCTCTATTAGAAGCCCAGTGGCTACAGCGTGAATCTTATCACCTTAGTAGGGTCGGTCCGACTATGCACCAGTTTCAGTCTATACTCGCTCGTACGGTGAAGGAAAACATCGTAAGACCCAAAAAGTCGACCACGTGTGTCAGGAGGCTGATCACCTATGTCTCTATTAGAAGCCCAGTGGCTACAGCGTGACTCTTATCACCATAGTTGGATCGGTCAGATTATGCACCAGTTTCTGTCTATATAACACTCGCTCGTACGGTGAAGGAAAGCTTCAGACCTCCTCAGACCCACGGCGTGTGTCAAGAGGCAGGTCCGTAGCCTATTAGATTGACAAATGATCATGAAACAGATACAGAAATCTAAAATCTAAATCTAAAAAGGTTGTAGCGCCACCGGGGTTTCCCAAAACACAGCCTTTCGTTCTTGCATCTTTGACTTGACCTCAGATCATTCCTGTGCAATGCGTCGTTGCCAGGTCTGTTTTGGCACGCTTCCTTGGGGATTCCAGTCGAGAGATCGCTTGTGGTCCTTCAAAAATATTTAGATATTTGGAATTTCAGGGTCCTATATAAGGAGGAACAAGGTATATTAGCGAGACGCCTGCTTGCAATACTGTCGATATTACAAGATTTATCGAAAGATAATGAAATAAATGAATTTATGGATATGTTTTGTCAAATATGCGCTCTTCTGGATACAACGGTAAGTGCTATATTAAAAACTTCTAAGGGGCCGTTCAAGTAGTAATACTTTAAGTAAGCAGATTTCCAGCAATTTATCCCCCCCCCCAACCTTCCTCTTGTCAGCAAAAGTAAGCAAAGCTAAAAAGTGCATTTCGTTTGCAAGCATAGACAATGTGTGGGTAATATGAGTAAAAAAGTAAATAATTACTGTTTACGTAATCACCAAATAAGAAAATCAAAGATTCTTTAAAAAATCAAGAATTCTCTTGTAAGTTTAAGTTACATTTTCAAGTTTCTGTTTTTCATTACTTCTGACAGTGACCAGTATCTTTTCCAAGAATTTGCTACTCTAATGAAAAATATGTGATAGTTCTATTCTTTCAACATTCTTCTATTTTATCAGTTAAAGGTACTTTTGATTTCATATTCTCTGAATCAAATTGCTCTTTATGCAATTTCAGACGATCAATAAGTTTATAACTTAACATATACTCCACAGATTAGTGAAAAGTTTTCGTATACCAAAAACAAAAGAAATGTTTCTGGACTTTGACCGCCTTACCAGTTTTTTTTATTATGGCTCTGGCACGATTTGTGCATTAGCCAGCGTCAAGTATAGGATTTTTATAATTCGTCATTTTTTATAATCTAAATAATTGTTAAGTATTATGTATGTCGTACTCTCTAAGACACAGAGTTCAATAAAAATATTTGTTGGAGACTTAGTCTACTTTTATTATTTCCCATTATCATTCCAATTTTCCAAGTATAAAATTAAGATTGATAAAGCGAATTTTATACCCTTAATGGAATATTATTCCAAAAATGTTTAGTTAAATGTCTATAATGTGAAAAAAGTTTCACTTTTACCGTGGTTTAAAAACCACACAATCCTTTTTTTTAATGTTTGTTAACTACTAAAATAACCTTGTACTTGGTTTCACAATAAATTATTATTGATTGAATAACTGGACTAAAAAAAAATGTTTATTTTATTTGGAAAATAATTCGGGCCTCCACTGCTTTGTTGCTGTCACCTCTAGACAACGAATATATATCTTTTTTTATTTAACAATAAACACTTAGTTGGTGTTTGTTTAGATGTTCGTCGGAACATGTCGACCTACAACGATGACTATCTAATACTAGTAGACTCGGCCAAGCGTTGCTGTGGCTAAGATTTTTGTTATATTACATAGTAGTAAACTCTTCAAGAGAAACGGCAGAACAGCAATCCACCGTGCTTTTTTGGTGGTTATGCCATTAAATTGTAGCTTATGTGAAACGTTGGTATTTATTTTGATAAGGATCAATACCTAGGTACGAATAAAGAGCCTTTTCTGGCGGTGGTATTTTAATAAAAAAAAATTAATAAAAGGGCGCTTATTGTGACGTAACTATAAAAGATAGAGACATGCTGCCGCGACATTTTTATAGATAGTAATGTGTCCTGAAAAATTGTAATACCTCATTTTGTTCTATCATTAATAGTTTTCGCAGCGCACACGATTGAAGGAAGTTTTTTGTTTATTTTTTTACACCTTGGGTTAGATTATTCAAGTTTTAGTAAGCATCCCTAATTTTTTTGAAAATGAAACATAGCCTATGTCACTCGGTAATAGTGTAGCTTGCCAACGGTGAAAGAATTTTTGAAATCGGTGCAGTAGTTTCGGAGCCTATTCATTTCAAACAAACAAAAAATCAAATCTTTCCTCTTTATAATATTAAGTATAGATACAAAAAGGTTCAAATATCTACAAAATGGAAAAATCAGTAAAACCCATTTAACTAAGTAATACCTAATTCGGCTGTTGTGTGATGGTGTGCGTAAGTGGGGTGTGCTATAATCAACATTAATTATATTTTTTCTTTTCAGTCATCGGGATTACTATACAGCGGGTTCTTAATATCCCTTATACATTTGCTAATAACTCTTTTACCATTATACATATCTCAAATTAGAGTTATTATACGTAACATTATAATATCTAGACCTCGACCGATGGTATCCTGTTCGGCTCTACCGCTATTGGTAAAACTTTGTAGGGAAGAGACAAATTCGAAAGAAAAAGGAAAAAGTTTATTATGTGACGGTAGTTCGGGAAATTTGAGGGTAGATTTCGATCAAGGTGTACTTTTGTATAGGAAAGGTGAGTACTATTTTTTAATATGTTGAATAGAATTTTAACCAGGAGTCATAAAAAAAAAATGTGAATTATATTTTAAATTAATACAAAATCTTATTGAGAATTGCCTATGTATTCATGTTAAAAGTAAAGTACCAGAGATATTTTTTTTTACTAGAACCGTAATTTTTATAGTCTATGATATATTCAAATTAATATTTGAATATGTCGAATATTATGTGGAGCAGTGCGACTCTCATCCCTGAGGTCGTAGGTTCGATCCGTAGTTCTGGTATCCTGGGCTTTAAAAAAACCCTAACTGAAATATTCTATAGTATATGGTCATCAGAGATATCGTAGGGTTCTAATATTGAAAGAGTTTTTTTAAATAACAAACAATCAAATCTTTCCTCTTTATATTATTGGCGATGTGTGTTAGCAAGCTTTTTGAATAAAAAACGATGGGTTGCACTCCGGGAGTGCCCGCAGAAGTGAAATCTTGAATATTAAGGTTGTGCATTTTTGATATTTTGGAATGGTTAGAGAATAATTTTGCACGAATTGCTTTAATTATCAGTATAAAAGTACTATCATTTATGTGGTAGAATACAATATTTATTTATTGCGCTATCGTACACAAACATGACAATTTATATTACATTAAATACGCCGCGCCAGCTGTCTACTCTCCATCCGTCTTACGAATTTTCGATCAGGTCACGTGTCCTGACGCGAGTTTAACATTTTTTACCCATTCCAAAAAAAGTGTACAACGCCGCTAAAGAAGTTTTCACTTCAAAAATCTTTTTAGATTCGTGCCTTCTCCAAGTTCTACTTAAGCAAGTTGAGACGGCACTCAAATGTATGGAGACAGATCGTTTGGTGGTTCAAGCTTTGGCAGTCGCACGAAACTTGCTACTGTTACATTCGAGTTTGACAATTGCAGATAATACTAGGTAAGGACTGTTTCTTGTTCCTTTAGAAAAAATATTGATTAAACCATAAATGTCCGATGTCAAATGTCATGTTTCCTGGCTTCACAGATTAAAAACGATTTGTGTACCAAAAATAATTTGCTGATAATACTACTAAAAAAAGCTCCAAATTCCTTTATTTAAAAAAAAATATTCACAAAATTGTTTTTTTTATTTGACATTTACTGGCTTGACAGATTAAAAACGTTTCTTTGTGTACCAAAAGTAATTTGCTGATAAAGCTAGGTAAGGAAAAGCTTCAAATTACTTAATTTTAAAAAAAATATTCACGGAACTATCAATGTCAGAAAACGAAATATTTCTCGCCCTTTCAGGTAATATTTAAATGTTTTCTTTTATATTCACTGGCTTCACAGATTAAAAATAATTTGCTGGGAATACTAGATAAGGAATAGCTCCAAATTTTATTATTAAAAAAAATATATTCACGAAAGTATAATTGACAGAAAACGAAATGTGTTTTTTTTTACGACGAACGAAATTTGTTTACCGATTCAAATGATATTTAAATGTTTTTTTTTATTTGACATTTTCTTGGCTTCAGGCTTCACAGATTAAAAAAATTTCTTTGTGTACTAAAAATAATGATTTTAATGTCAAAAATCGAAAAAATGGTTTAAAAATCCGACATACCGACGTTGGTACTTCAGTTACTTCAAATGATTATGAAATCCTGACAATTATTTGGCAAATTAATTTCAGATGCGAGTGCAGACTCGTCCTATTGCAAGTAATCGTATATGCTCTGTGGATATGCGCACACGCCATCAAGGATGTAGGTAAGTTTCATCTGATTCATCCATATATTTAATTCCAATATAGTAACCTCCTCTTGAAGACTATCAAAAATGTTCCAGCCAGCACACTAACACAGGGTGTTCTAGCAACGTGTCGAAGTGGTCTGGAATTGATTTACCTCTGCGTGACGAGGGACGTGGAGTTCGTATCCCAGTTGGATTATCACGAAGGACATTTGATACAGCTATGTGAGATTATTAGACAATATGAACATAGCGAGATTTTTGGTAAGTTTGAGTTCCGAAAAAAAGTGCGTACAAAGTACACATGTCAGAAGTGATTCTTCTCTGGCAAACTTTATTTTAAGTCTTGTTTATATTTATACAAATTTAAATCTTTAGATTTCCGAGACTTAGAGGGAGGGAAAAAGGAAGATTTTATTGTCATTCAAATGTTAAAAGTGTCGAAATTAATACAAATTATAAATTAAATTTTCTTCGATACTAATAATAAGGTATCTCGCCCTTCTCACTCTCTCTCAATCGGTCTCAACCGCTCTCCCTTTTCTTCGACAAAAACGCTGCACATCTTCGTGACGTATCCGTAAAAAATTTACCCCTTCAAAAAAATCTGTGTTGGTAGGCTGATTGTGCAGAAATGTGTTCTTCAGTTGGTGTATCTTTTTTATTTTGTCTGGAAGAAATCGCTTGTTAGCGATTAGTCCGTTGTAAGTGTAAATAAATAAATATTCTACTTTAGAAGTAAAACTACCAATTGTATGAAAACACATGACAGTTCTGCTAAAGAATAGAAGATTATATTCATGAAAAACACCTCTACTAATTCTTTAAATCAAATCAAATCAAAATACGTTTATTCAATTTAGATGCTTCTTAGAGCATGCTTATGAATGTCAACAACTTTTACAAAATTCACGAAAGAGCAATACTACGCCATTCTTTAGAAGTAGAATTATTCTTAAAGTAATGCTTTATATTCTATTCTAAAGATTCTACTAGAAAAATAAATTTTAATAATTCTACTATTAAAACATCTTTAACCATATCAAAAGCGGTTTATCCATTTCAGGTTCTATGCTAACAGAGATATCTACAACATTCCAAGCATCACCCGAAGATGAGACCCCAGCATTCACCAAACAGCCCTGGATAAATAGTTTCCAGACTTTCTCCATCACAGATTAGTCTAGGATTCATTCAAAAAGCCTGTTCTGGTTTCGCAAATTGGGAATTAAAAGAAATATATATATCATCGCTGTAGAATGATAAAAAACAGTACAGAAACCGAAAAAAATGTTTCATTTTGTTAATATTCGTCATATTAATATTTATGTGTTTTTGTCCATAGTTAAATGACATAAGAGTATAAAAATAAAAACATTAAACGATTACAGTTATTAAGGAAAGAAGGGTGGGTGTACTTATGTACGCGCGTAAGAAGTTATACTTCTTTGGCATTATTAATAATACATACGGATAGTTAACCTCAATTGTATTGAAGCACTTAGGAAGGTTGATGAGCACAGTTTTTTCACAAATATTTTCTAATATTAATTAGTATTGATTTAAATATTCAATTTAAATCACTTCTGATTATAATTCAGACGCACATATAAAATTCGCACTTGTATAATGAAAACAAAATGAAAACACGTGTTTTAAATGTAGAAACTCAAAGCATGTGGATAAATATTATAAATATAAATACACAGTGAACAGAGGCCACTAACTTCATTCTGTTAATTTTGTGTCACGGTGCGCGCGCATCGTAAAATTTCACTGTCATAAATTTTTCATAACGCGCCTAAAGAAGTATAACTTCAAAAATAAATAGTTTTTTGACATACGAGGTTATCATTCTATAGTGACGATATGTCACTATAGAATGATAACACTCTAATGGAAGAATATGAAATTGGCCTATACTCTGATTTTTAATTCCGTAGAATTCTGACAGCTATCATCTTTTAGCTGGAGAGCTAGTGAACCCTGGGAGTAACGGTCTCCCTGTAAGGTTAGAAATTTGTATACTTACGATTTATGACATGCTAAGAGCAATAGCCATGACCTGGCAGGCGTCAGCCCTGCACGTCATCAGCCCCTTTTTTTTGGACTGTTAAGTAAATTGAGTTTCAAAACTTGTTTCTGTAAATTTGAAAATTTTATAGGATAAAGTTTATTTATTGTACATCTTAAAAAAAAATTGACAGGCGATTACAATAAGCAGAAGTATATGACAGATCAATTAGAAAACGTACAGTTGATGAGTTAAAATAAACTTTATCCTGTATACTTAAAATTTTTATATGTTTTCAAGTAAACGTCTCAGAGTAAATATGTACAATGCCAGGCGGTTTTGAACAGCATAAGACCTTGACAGGCGAGGGGACAGCTGCTGCAGCGGCGTGCAAATAAGAAATGTTACATGAACGCATACAGTAAATGCAATGTATTTTATTGGGTTTTATGCAATCTACATTATTTTTAACATTCATTTTCTTCAGCATCATCCGAAATTTCGCTATCACTGTTTTCATCATCATCTGATTCTTCAACAATGTTTTCCTCATCTGAAAATAGTAAAAAAAAATATTTTAATGAATCAATAAGGTTGTTAAGAATTAAATATCAAGCTCAATTACATAGGACTGCGTATTAAATGTTACGGAATAAAATAGTTGTATGTTACCTGAAATGCATTCCTCAGTTTCAGTCGATTGTGCTGTGGCAGTATCAGCAGGTCCTTGTAAAAGTATGTCGTATATAGAAGATGGAACCGTATTCCCCTCAAACCAATTAAATTCGTAACGACTATCAATTAAGTTCCAACCGTTATTTTCAGGTGTAAGAATTGTTGGTTCTTTTAAATTACAATTTCGCCATATATTTGTAATGTAGGCAGTTCTCAATAATTGTTGATGTAGTTCACGTTTGCAGGGTGGTAAATTCGATGAATCATAGCTTACTACTTTTTTCATAAACACTTTAGGATTATTTGTGTTGTACGTAGCAAGGAACTTTTCATAACGTGCATTATTTAACTTTGAACATTTCAAACCATACATTTGGCATACAAATTTCTCTAGTATCGGGAAAATTTTTTCTTTCTTCTGTACTATTTCTGCGTTTCCTAATTCTTTGAATGCCTTCTGATATACACTCGATTTCTGCAATATTTGGAATGGTTTTTTTTACCTCTTCTTGAAAAGGACGGATTGAAATCGCAACCGGTTAATGCATGAAATGCCGGTAAGCTTTGGCATATAGAAGGTCCCAATTTTGTATATAGTTCAGAAATATTTATCCATTTTTTACAATGATTAGTGCCATATTCCATATAGATTTTTAAATTATTATTGTGGAGATGGTCCATGTTTCCGAGCAGTAATATTAAAATGTCTGTGTCACATGTTTTTATTAATACGTCGGATACATCTTCATCCATTTGGCATGTATGGTATATTATTTTTGTATCAGCCTCTTCATGATGTTGGCACGATAAATCATCATTTATATCGACAATCACAGAGTTATTTTGGACACTATAAGTATGGCATTGTTTGTAATTTAAGTTTACTATGGTATTCCCGATAAACTCTATCATTTCATTTGTGCTCCAATGTGAAATTAAAAAATCTACGAAAGCTTCTTTAAATTTTATGTTACGAAGTTCTTTCATAAAATCGACTGGTCGAATTTGTTCTGGTCCGGTAATGAAATAATTTATGTTTCGTACTTCTTGTCGTTTGGCTCGTTCATAATCTTTAATTGACGGCGAAAAGTATTGGTCGAAAATGATATCTACTCGTGAGGCATGTGTAGCTGTTAGTAGCGACATAATTTTTTTGGAAATACCACCAAATGTTTTAGGGATGTTTTTGAATGTATGCAGTAAAAAAATCCATCAAAAATGACAACATCAAAACGTCTTGGTACCTCTTCACTGTTGACGTTTGCCTTTAAAATTTCAACCATTGCTGATTTCTGAGTTTTATGTATTGTACCATCTTCATGACACAATGACAATGGAACAGTTGTAATGGGGTATGATAACGTCTTCTCCAAATCGATGTTATGTTGTATTGACAGAGCTAACAGGCGACCAAAGAAATCACGTTGCACACGGATTTCATGAACCTTATCACCGACTTTGATTTTTTTCTTTTTTTTTCAAAGGCAAAATTCATAATTTTCACTTGTGCAATTCTTTCTTCAAATCTTTTTCCATTCTGTGAACATTCAGTTATAAAATTCTCTTTCAATCTTTCTCCTGATTCTATAAAATTCAATAAGTAATCCTGTACTGCGATCGAAGCAACTGTACCATTACCGATGTTATACAGACAATCTTTGTTTAGATTCAATATAAATGGATTTAGAAATTTCTCAAAAGTATTTATGAACTTCCACAACTGTGCTGAATCTCTTTTTATAGCATGTTCTTCCAGGTCTGCTGATACATCATTTTTTCTTCGTAAACCAGTAATGTCCAGAGTGTGAGATATGACAGTTGTTCTTATGTCGTGACTTCTAGCCCATCGCTGACGAGCGGAAATAGAATGAGTGAACTGGATTACACCAGTTAATCTTTTTCCCGCGTCGGCATTAATAGTTTGTTCAAGTACTAGATCTGTTGGCTGTCTAGAGAAAGATTTATCAGTACGTTTGATTCCAAGGTATCCATCTTTCATAAATTTTTCAATTGATGGATGTGTAAGACCAACTTTTAACAAATTATCATGGTATTTTATCAGCCATCGTGAATAATTAGGCTGATTTGTCATAAAAATATATTTGCTATTTTTGACAAAATATATTTGTACAAAGAAAAGTTTCCAGTCCTTATGCTTCGACTCAGTAACTGATAGTGATGAACAAGATCCATATAAATAACATAAAATTGAGGCGTTTTACCAAAAGTTCCTTTTCTACATTGTTCTTTGTGATATTGGTATCAATGTTGATATTGCTTCATTTTCTACGACGGGCACAAACGGTTCATTACCATCGATAAATGTAGAGAGATTATTGTAAACATCTTCATCAATACTTATATCTTCTTTTTCTATGAAAGATTGAAAACATAATATTTCAAGTCCTAGTGCCATTAATGGATGCAGCCGCTTACATCGATTAAAATGTTTTCCTTTCAAAAATCCATCTACTGAACCATTTGCGATAATTTCACTTTCAACAGCTACATTCATTATTCCACTGTCGTCAATAAATTTTCCAATTGCTCTAAACAATGCTAACATGATGTGGAACGGTCCTAAATGGATAAATAAATTATCATAAACTGGTTTTTCTGTAGACTGTACCTGCATAGCAATTTTTGCTATAGCTAGATCATATGTTACATTAATGCAAGGTTGTCCAATTTCTGCAGCAATACTTTGACTTTGTTTCATAGTTTCTATTACAACTGGTATATTTGTCGGTGATTCGTTTATTGGTGTAAGATAACAAATTTTTTCTTTGTTATTATGAGAATCTTTGTTTACATTATGATGGAACCCAACCCACATCGATGTTTTTTAATTTTTAGAGCATGGCAAAGCATCCACAGAAACTTTTGCTGATAAATTATTTCTAGTGAAGCTGGTGTTGCTTCATTTCTTAAATTGTCAGATAAGGACAATAATTCATCATTCATCTTGGGTTTTTTTGAATATGGGACTAACTCTGGGATGATAGCATCAAGAGTCCTTCTTCTTTTATGTCCTGCATGAACACATGAAACGGATAGCTCGCCTGTGCACTCACCATGTTCAGAAGGATTTTGGAGTTGCTCAGAAGTTCTCTCTGTTGATTCCTCATTTTCTAGAACTGTTTGATAGATTATGCCTACCGTATCATGTAGGGTATCTTTACCAGTAGCAGTATCAACATAACGATCGAAGTTGTCGAAGGCTACTCCTGTGAATAAATCTTGTCTTTTACAAATTTCATTTGGACAAATTTTAGAACGATTCAATAACGTAGTTGTTGCTGCAGTTTCCAATTCTTCAATAACATGATAACTACAACAATGACCATATTTATTTATAATTTCTACGATCTTTCTGCTGCTCGTCAAACTCTTCAATGTCATGCCCAGAGTGATGTGTTTTTTGGTTTTGACAGACCCATTAGTGACATTATAAATCAAATCTTCTGCCAATGAATTAGTTTTCCTTATACAA